GGATGTGTCTCTCACTTCCTCGCTTGCCCCTCATGTGGTCAGGCAGTGGAGGGGGGAGTTGTCTTATGTGGAGAAGATGTGCTCAGACCTCCACAGCGAATCTAGTCCTGCTGGGCTGAGCTCGCTCAGAATGGGGGTGCTCGTAAGACACATCTGGACAGGAGAAAATGGTTCTTTGTTTTTCTCTTTAAGTAGTGAGTACTAATAGATATTGTTATAGGTATTTTGTATGAAATCCAAGGCATATAAAGTAGAATGTGGAAAAACTTTTTTCCTTTTTTCTTTTTTCACTTTATGAAGAGTAACACAAATGACTACTAATTATCAACAACAAAAATCGCAGTTCTCCTTCTGGAAGATAATTATGCTAAGTAGATCATTCTGTCTGCTTGAAGTGCTTGTTTTAGCTACTTGCTGAAGTATGGAAACATGTCATCTAAGAAATGAAATGCAATGTATCCTGCCATGCTTCTGCAGCTTTAGAATGTTTAAATACAGGAAAATTGCTTGGAAAAATTGCCAAAGTTCTAAGTACAAGTACAAGACTTCTTTAGATTCATCTAAATTTCTCTCCTAATAGCTGGCAGAAAAGCAAAACTGTAAATGCAAACTAAAACGACTTTTTTGTTCTGAATAATGTTTCAGAAACTCTTTCCTAAATCCTTGTGAATAAAATTACACTTGCAGTTTGTTTATAATTAATCCCTTAAAATCCCTAAATCCTTAAAATGAAAGTTGACCCAGATGCTTTAATAAGGACTTTATTTACAGAATTATTTCTAACTCTCCTGGAGTGTCATTATTCTGCTTATTACCACTTCAGCAAGGTTCATAAATTTCATCCTTTGCTGTTCATTTGTTAATATGTGAATTATTTAAAAACCTGGTTGTAAACAGGGTGAAGATTTACTTTTAATTTTTTTTTCTGTGTTTAGGACAGGGTCTACAGGGTCTCACTGTGTAGATCAGACTTGTAGTGATTCTCCTGTTTTCATTCTTTCAAGCGCTGGGATTACAGGCACGCACCACCGTGTTCAGTCTTCATCTCAGTCTCAGCGCGCCCTGTGGGGCTGGCAAGGCATGCTGGGGATAGAACGCCGGCCGCTGCGCTCTGCCTAAGCAGGTGCTTTAGTCCTCTGAGCTGTCAGGCTGGCCCTTAATTTTGAACATTAGTATAAGTTGCCAAAAGAGTTCAGGGATTTGGGGAATGTTGCCATGGTTGGAATCCATCCCAGGGCCTAGCGCATGCTAAGCAAGCCTTCTGACACTGAGCCATATCCCTAGTTTTTGTGTATCAAACAGGCCTGTTTCTTCATAATGTTTTATGTATTTTTATTAGCACATGTTTATAGTACATATTGATTATATTTATCATGAGGAGTTGATAATTGATCTTATGTAACATTTCTGTTGTGATTCTGGTAAGAATTATAACCAAACCCAAACCCTAACTGAATATATTCTAATAATGTGTTTTTCAGATTCTTTTGTGATAGTTGATTTTGCTTCCTTATCTGCAAACAGAAATGACGCAGAAATTAACTGCTTTGACGAAACTAGATTTTCATTGAAAGCCCTTGCCTTGATCATATCAGTGGACTAACCTCCACTAACCTTATTCTATTTGCCCTTAAAGGGTCTATTTATTTGCAATAAATATTGTTAACTTGAATTATATAGTCAGTTTCGCTAGACTACATAAAGTATGACCCTGACATTTTTTAATTATTTTGAGGGTTAATATTGGCATACCCCTCTTCCCCTTTTTTCTTTATTTGCTTATATTACAAGCCTTTCTTCCTCACTTCGCCTACTGTCTCTGTCTGAGCTTCCACCTCCAGCACTCTGGTCTCAGCCCTCAGCCTGTCCTCAGTGGACTACTGTGCTTGCTTCATGGCGGGTGCCCCTTCTCTCGGTGCCTCTGCCTCGTCCTCTCCTGGCATCCCTCCTGCTGCTCTGCCTGCCCTCTGTTTTTCTACCTCTGAAATGTTGGGCTAGGATCCCCTCTTGCCTCTTTTCCTTTTTTCCCCCCTGTTTCTCTCCCACAGCTTCAGACACCTCCTGGGTGTGAGCTGATCTCCGGCCTGGACCCAGGCCCTTCTCCAGCCTGGACCCTGGCCCTCCCTCGGCCCGCTGTCTGCACCCTCAGACCTTTGCTTTCAAGTCCATCTGGTCTTGTGCAAGGTGCACAAAAGCAGAACTCGCTGCCCAGATCCTTCCCTCCTTCTGTGCTCCTTCCTCGAGCTCACAGCACAGTTGTCTCTGCAGAAGTCTAAGCCAAGCTCTAGGAACTAAGGGTAGTCCTCAGCAGTGCCAGCCCCCTCCAGTCATCGCCAGCCTGTGATTTCTCCTTGCTCCAACCTGTTGCTTAGGGTCGCCGAGTCTCCACCACTTGGTTCTTAGTCTCCACCACTTGGTTCTTAGTTCAGGTTCCCTCGTACCCCACTGCATGGTCAATGATCTCGTCTGCAGCTCCCGGGTCCCCAGCTTTCAGGCACACATCTGAATTTATCTCAGGTAAGGCCCTACCCTTGCTTCTGGAGAGACCTAGAAAAGCTTTTGGAAATAAAGTGAAGTAGAGGCCTTAGTTCCCTTGAATAAAAATCAGTGCAAGAGAGTGTAGGGCGGAGTGGCAAAGGCTGGCGAACTCAGGGTTTCATCACAAGTGCGCATTTTGTCTGCGCTTTTTGAAGAACAGTGTTCCAGTTCTGTTCTGATAAAATTGAACTTACTGATAAAGTTACAACCTTCAACTAAAGCCTAGTTTTTAGTCTCTGCTATATACTTGAATAACTTACAATAATGCTTACCCTGAGCTATATTTTTAACTGTTTGTCATTTATTTTCAAAACTATGCCTTTCAATGAGCTGTATGCCTTCAGATAGCCTCAGCATAGTGTTTTTTTTTTTTTTTTTTTTTTAGTCCTGGTTTATCCCATATACTCAAATCATACTCACTCCCTAATGCTTCTGAAGGGAAGGATGTATTTTAATCTGATAATGCCTGAGCTCATTTATACCTGAATAGTAAGCCTCAGAGAAAGAATTGTTTTGATCTTTGAAGTGTGTCTGTTGTAGATGAGACTGGTAGTTGGAAACAGCCTCAGCTCTGACTAGGACACTATTCTTGAGCTGCTTGTGACGCAGGGAAGAAGCAGACACTCAGGTGTTTCTACTTTGTGTTTGTTCCACTTACTGTTGTGTTGCTGTAAATTCATGTGACTTCCCACATTTTCCCTTCACTTCTTGATGTGTGATGAGAGACCACACTGCTTCCCTCCAGTGGGACGATGAAAGACACAGAGAAACGTCAAGTATTTTAGCAAGTTTTGAGGGACTGAATAGACTTTGAATGTTCTGTTCAGAGATTAAAGGTTCATTGAAAGATTCATGTGACTCCTGGTAAAACAATCTTTTCTAACAAAAGTGGCAGTTCTTTATCTCTGTTTGATTATTTTGGTATGAAAAATTATTATTCTTTATTACACAGAAACAGTTTTACCTGGCGGAAAAATCATGTAATGCATCATCTCCAAAGAGAAATTTTAGCTTTTTGCTTTTGAGACAGGGTCTTGCTATGTAGGCCAGGCTGGCTTTGAGCTGTGGCGATCCCCCTGCCTCAGCCTCTGAGGTGCTAGGGCTATCGGTGGGGGCCACCATGCTTGGTCCAGTTTTTGCCACGGCCTGTGGTGCATCACTGGCAGAGATGGGAAGGAATGTAGACTTCTGCAGTGCTCTTTTCTCTGTCCTGTGGTATTTATTTATTAGCATTTTGGGGCCTCCACATGATGTGTCATTAGTTGGTGGTGCAGTTGTGAGCCAGGGCACAAGAAATACACTGTATGTCGATGCTCATCTGTTGAAATTTTGACTTGCCTTTTAGTTTTTTTAGAGAGGATCACATTGTGTAGCCAGGATAACCTCAAACTCATGGAAATCCTCTGCTGTGGCCTCCCAAGTACTGGCATTACACGTGTGTACCACCATTCCCCACTGGAAGTTTGACTTTTAAAATATTATTTGTCTTATGCTCCAGAAATCATTTTTAAAAAATCATCTCCCCAAAAGAAAGAAAGAAGGGGAAAAATCATATGTGTGTGTGTGTGTGTGTGTGTGTGTGTATATATATATATATATATATATATATGAGATAGCTAAGAAGCTAAAATAATTGTGAACACAAGATGGCTAAGATAAATTGGTTTATTTAAAAGAACAGTTGATGCTTTTTGGGGGACCAATTTTACATGCTTACATATGGTAATCTGAACAACTACTTGGAAGATGACAATATGTAATATAACAGCCATTATTGAATTCCTATCATTTTGTTTTTTGAAATTCTGTATTGTTTCTAATTTTTTTATTACTTTTGATTCTGTTAAAAAAAAATCTCTCCAGATACTTTGATTTTATTTTTTTTGGCGGAACCAGGGATTGAACTCAGATCCTTGCGTTTGCCAGTCAAGCACTTATCCTACTGAGCCATCCCCCCCGGCCCCTGATTTTATTTTTAACAATATCTTACTAAGTTGATTGGTCTGGTTTTTAAGTTGGAGTTCTCCTGGCTCAGCGTCCTGAATAGCTTGGATTGATACAAGTGTGTGTTGTGCCTGGCTCAGGAGGATTACCTGTGTGTGTGTGTGTGTGTGTGTGTGTGTGTGTTATTTAAATATGTTCCCCACCCACCATACTAAACTGAGCATCGTGGGGCTGTTGCTCATCTAAACTGAGGGGGGTGGGTGCATCTCTGTATGGATGCCCTGGTGAACTGCAGGGGTGAAATGGACGGGATCTTAGACCTGGGGCTATAGTCTCTTAATTGTGATGTTTACATTCGAATAGTCCCATCCCTTGGTCAGTGCTGTTCCTCTCCGCTGCGCTGCGGAAGGGTACAGGTTTTCCTCCCTGGAAGGCGCCCGGGCTCTGTGGACAGAGCTAGGGTCTGGTCTGGCCTGGCCTGGCCCTGGGAGCCCAGTAACACGGCTGCTTCCCCGCAGGTGCCTGAGATCATCAGCTCCATCCGCCAGGCCGGGAAGATCGCCCGCCAGGAGGAGCTGCGCTGCCCTTCGGAGTTTGACGACACCTTCGCCAAGAAGTTCGAGGTCCTTTTCTGCGGCCGCGTGACGGTGGCGCACAAGAAGGCGCCTCCGGCCCTGATCGACGAGTGCATCGAGAAGTTCAACAACATCTGCTGCAGCCTGAGAGCGGACGGGGAGCCGCTCTCGCAGGGTCCTGAGCCCCCAGTGGACTCCGACAGGGTCCTTTCAAGCCCCGGCGCCGCCAGGCGCAGGCCCATGCGCAAGTCCCAGTCGCAGCCCGGCCTGCGCTCGCTGGCCTACCGCAGGGAGTTCCAGGACGGCGGCCTGCGCAGCTTCAGCCTCTTCAGCTCCTTCGAGGAGAACGACATCGAGAACCACTTGATCGGTGGGCACCATGTCGTGCAGCCCACGGACATTGAGGAAAATCGAACTATGCTCTTCACGGTAAAATACACAGCGCTGCATCCCCCTGAGATGCGTGTCCTCAAGAAAATCTGCTTTATCAAGCAGGCTCTCAGGCACTATGCTTGAGTAAATGCCTGAAGCCGTGTATTTTTATACTGGTGATTTTTTCTCAGGATGAAATTCTTATATAGCCTTTAAAATCAATCAGAGGGAACGATAGTGGAATCCACTTTCATCCTTGTACAGATTCTTAATCCCCCACATCTCATGGTTGTGAAGACATGTTTTCTTTCTTTCTTTCTTTAATTTTTCTTTCTTGTCTTTTTTCTTTTTCTTTTCACTTTTTTTTTTTTTTTTTTTCAGTAGCAGGGATTGAACTCAGGGCCTTGTACTTGCCAGGCAAGCACTTATTCTACTGAGCTATCTCCCTGGCCCCAAGACATTTTTTAGCACATATTTTCAATGTGGAAAGAACATTATATAAGAGAGGTCAGAAGGGAATTTTTTTTCATAATTTTATTGATAAATAGCAGTGAGACAGTTTCAAATCAAATCGCTAGGACAGTTTCAATAATTCACACATTGCATACATTCTTTCTAGTGGTTAATTGCTGTACAAGATGCGGACTTGAGATCCTATTTACAAACACCATTAGAACAAATCAGTCTATTCATTAAGAGAATGTAACTATATATCTATCCTAACCACTTCGAATACAGAGATACAAAATGGACATTCATCTGTATCCCCTTTTTTTGTTAAGTTCCGTTATTTGAATATTATAGGTGTGTAAGCTCAGTAAAATATTCTAAAAGAGTCCAGTAGCCCGTAATAGTATTGGGTCTTCCGCTTCACTGGCAATGTCAGAAATTGTTGACCTGATAGCTCAACAGTTGTTGACCTGATAGCTCAAATTGTTCCCCTACAGCTCAACACAACAGCATGGTTTTACTTCTTTTTTTTTTTTTTTTTTGGTGGAACCGGGGATTGAACTCAGGCCCTGGCACTTGTTAAGGAAGCGCTTATTTCACTGAGCCATCTCCCCGGCCCCGGCTTTACTTCTTATATTTCGTTTTTATACTTTTCTGCTGGATGGTTAAGACCAAGGTAAAGCAGGACCTATGTAACAAGAGTTGTAGCTTTTGGGTCTGAGAAGGTCAGTGAAATCCCCTCAGGATTTATCCTGCAATCCTGTACCTCAGATTGTAGATACTTTGTCAGTGTCAGCCATGTGGATGAGAAGGGAAATTTTTAACAATGTATATTAACTTCAGATAATGCCTTTCAACAAAAGCTTTAGGGGGAAATATTCCCTTTACTGATTTATTAGATTATGAAGCATTTGTCCTTTATTGGTTAGTGGATAACTTTTTACTGAAATTTATATTCAAAGTAAAATATTAATTTAGCCAGATGCTTACTTTTTGTTGTTCTTGTTCTAGAAACAGTACTGTTGAACTGACAGCCAGTTGCAGGAAAAGGAGTGGGCAGGGCAGCCATCCCTGCCCATCCAGGTGCCCGGGTTCACAGGGACCTGGCTGTTGGGGTTGGGCCTGCCCGCCTGGCCCTGCCCAGCCCCAGTTGGTAGGACCACACTGTCCCAGTAGGGAGCTCGGTTTTCCTTGATCGGTCCCTGTCTCTTTGGCTTGATGCTCACTCTGTGGTGAGCAAAGGTGCCTGAAGTGTGACGTATCATCATTTTGCTTAACCCAGGGCAGGAGGTAGCAGAGAGTGGGTCAGTTAATCTGTGTGGTTGGATGCAGCTGTAAAATCCAGGTAGTGGCTCGGGGGTAAATAGGGCTGATTTTGTCCTTTTTAAATCATTGATCTAGTAAACTGAAAAGAGCACTACACTTAGAAGTAAGAAAATTATAGTCAACATCACTAATCAGAGAAATAAAACCATATTGACATAAAAAAGAGCACTACACTATGTCAGTGGTGTTGTAATCTCTGACATCTCCAGATTTTTGTGACATCATCACTGGGAAACCTGCTTGATACATTTATTTATGAGTATATAACCATGTGACTGCCACATATAGAATCCCTTAATACATGCTAGAGTAGAGCTTTGAGCAAGAGGGGCTTGGCTGTGTCAGCGTGGAGTCTAGGCTCTAGGGAGGGGAGCAGGCAAGGGATTGTACACATAGTTATCGGTGACAGCTGTAATGAAGGCTGTGAAGGACAGTAGAATGTGCGGGGACACAGGAGTGGTGTCTTTGGAGTGATGATTCTCCAAGCTGCCCAGGTGGCAGGAACTCGGGCATGGCAGTCCGCAGGTGCAGAGTCCTGCTGGGGGCGGGGGGGACGATGGAGCTCAGCGGAGGGTCTCTTGTAGCCAGTGTTCCCACTTTCTGTGCTTGGCAGACTTCTCTCAGTTGTCTTAGATCTTGCTTCCCAGCCTGTAGGTCTCTGCGGGAATGTTAATGTGACATAGAGGAATAATTCAGTGAGGCCAGTATCTTAACACCTATTTTGTTTAACTTTTCTCCATGGTGCTCATCACCACCTGACGTAATTATGCACAAGTATTGGGTGTCCCTTCTCTTCCCCAGAAGTTGGGCTTTCTGAAGGTGTGGATTTGTACCTCCCATCAGCACTGTGCCAGAGCTGGGCCTTGCATGTTGCAGGAAGGGCTCAGTGGCAAGGCTAGGGGATGGCACTTCCGGTATGGGATGGTGGGTAGAGGTGGGGCGTTGCAGGGCTTCAATACATTAAAGAACTTGTGGGTCACAGTGAGCGGGTCCGGATTTTATTTTGTGCCCTTAAAGCAGCAGGTAATCACACTGTGTCAAATGGCTTTGGCTGCAGAGCCAGGGATGTTTGGGGAGAAACAACAGGAAAAGGTTAGGAGGCTGTTACAGGACGTGGACGGTGAAGGCAGTGAGAATGGGCCGAAGTAGGCAGGCAGGGCACTCACGCTGTCAAGCCCATGGCACAGAGGGATTGGATGGGAGAAGCTCTGAGGCCTGCCCAGCTTTAAATTCTGATTTATTCTTTGCAGTCCAGCCACACCAGATAGGAATACTATCAAGTTTTTCAGCTAAGAAATTTTCATTGATCCTTTTTAAAACAAATGAGGATGATTTTCATCATGTGGGTAAAAACATGGACCTCTAAAAAGATAAAATATGTCTTGGGCTGGTGCGATAGCTCAGCAGACTAAATGCCTGCTTAGCAAGCGCAAGGGCTGGGGTTCGATCCCTGGTACCACATGCCGCACTGGCCCAACCGAGTCCGGGTGTGGTATTGCATGCCTGTAATCTCAATGCTGGGGAGGCTGAAAACAGGAGGATCACTATGAGTTCAACCTGCATAGTGAGGTCCTGCACACGTACACACATACACACACATGAACACATACACACACGCATACATACACACAAAGGGCTAGCCAGATAGCTCAGCAAGTACCTGCTTAGGCAAGCGCTAAAGGAACAGGGTTAGATCCCCATACCATGCCAGCCCCATTCCTGGGGTGTGCTGAGACAGTGAATGAGACTGGGTAGGGTGGTGCACACCTGTAATCCCCATGCTTGGGAGGCTAAAAATAGGATCGCTACAAGTCTGATCTGTGCAGTGAGACCTAGTACTAAATACATTGAAAAAAAAAAGATGAAATATATCTAAAATAGCATTTCATTCATTTTCAAATAACGGGACCACTAAGTTTATCCCCACTCTAGAGAGATATATAGCCTAGACTAATTTAGAAAGATGTCGCATGTTAAAAATGTTGGTTTTTATCATACTTGAGTTCCATGGGAGAGGATAAGAAGCCTTGTCAGTTACAGCTGTCAGAAATATAGTATAGAAATAGTGAACACAAGCTTTCTTAGTGTATAGCTTGTGCCACATGCTGGCCTTCCTCCTCGAGAACATCACTGGTCTGCACCCCGGTTCCATCCAGCAAGCTGTACATCCAGTGTGTATTCCACATCAAGGTGCAAAGAGTTTGGAGCAGAAAGGACTGTGAGTGATAGGGCCAGCCTTGGGGGGATGTGACCACTGACCACCTGACCCAGGAGAAGCTGAAATGATAGAAAGCAGTGCAGGCGGGAACCAGAACACAGGTAGGAGGTGCGGTACCCAGGCAGGCAGCTCTGCTGTGTCCTGTGGTGGCTGGCTGTGCAGTTAGCTGAAGGGTGTGTCACACAGCATTCTGCTGCAGATGTGCATTCCAGTGTCCCTAGACAGGAAGACACAGTTATTCATGCTCACGTTCTTTCAGGTGAGGTAAGTAGCAATGTTTGGGACTGCCCCGCACACTGTGTGTACTCTACAAGTGGTAGGTTATTTTGGCAGTAGTTAAAAAAATAATTTTAAAGAGAAATGTGTTTTCTGGGTTATTCACTTAGGTAGCATGTTCAGTTGCTTATAAAAAGTGTGGGTTCTGAGACTTATTGCTAGCTTTTGGGTATTATGTCCTTTCTGCTCTGAAAAGGCTGCAGTTCTGCAAAGGAAAATGCACTGTGGTTGTGCGGTGTCACCTGACATGGGATATACTATCACGAGAGCCTACCCTTTTCCTCTGTATTTACATAGGTCGGGATGTGAGAAGGTCTGTATTCAACACTGGAATTCAACTTTCATAAGAAACTAGTTTCTTTGTTTATCTTTAAGATCGGCCAGTCTGAAGTTTACCTCATCAGTCCTGACACCAAAAAAATAGCATTGGAGAAAAATTTTAAGGAGATATCCTTTTGCTCTCAGGTAAATAGAGACTGGTTATTGTTTCAGTTGCAGTTGAATTTTTAAAAATAATTCTGTTACCATCTGTTGTATAACAGAAATTCTAAAAGTGTAATACGATGTTTTCTGAGTATTTGATTTGTGGCCTTAATTTTTTTTTTTTTTTTTTTTTTTTTTTTAATATAAGGCAAATTAGGACAGGGGAGATGGCTCCACAGCATAAGCGCCTGCCTGGCAAGCACGAGGTCTTGAGTTTAATCCCTGGTACTAAAAAAAAAAAAAAAAAAAAAGGCAAATTATAAATATAATTTTGAAATTAAGGATTTTATTCTTAGCAACATAGTAGAACAGTAGATCTACTTTCTTTTTTCTTAGTTTTTGGTACTAATTTTTCCAGATGATGTTTTCAGTGATGTTTGTGTATTTTTTAGAGATATTTAAATACCCAATATAAAAAATTTTCTTTTTCTAGTTCTGAAGATTGAACCCAGAGCTTCATGTATGCTAGGCAGACTCTGTGCCCAGAGCTACATCTCCAGCCCTTTTTAATTTGAGACAGGATCTCAGTAAGATCTCATTGAATTTAGCCTCCCCAGTAGCCGGGCGTGTGGGCCTGCACCACCACAGCTGGCTGTGTTCTGCATTACAGACGTTTGTACTTTTCTAGTGTGACTCCTCATTGCCTCTCCCTTAAAATACGCTAGGCAGTGTATAGCGTTGAGGCTGCTTGATCCAGAACACAATGTCTGTTTGAAATTCTCTGTACTGAGAATCCACCAGATAATTTCACAGAAGGACTTGTAGGAATCTGCCAGCTGTGCTGTGGAAGTCTTACTTAGATAGGATATCCCTTAAAGCTATGTTGGACTGGTTTTTTAAAAATTATTACTTTATTTCCATAATTAATAAGATAATAAAAATCTTTGTGTTGATTTATAATTGATTCACTGAAATATTCAAGAAAGGATTTTTCTTTCAAAATTTGAAAAATACTAATTTTTTTCTTCATAGATGCAACAATAGGGGGCCTTTTTCAAGGAAGATGTTTTCCTGAGCCGTATTTATCCTTAAGCAGTGTACTCTAGCATATACTTAATTTGCTATTGGGAAACATTAGTTGAGATACCAAAATATGTCAGTGATTATGTATTGGAAATACTTGGCCTGGAAATACGTTGTCTACAGAATGTTAACCTTGATTTTCTTGTATGTGTTTTGAAATATAATGTTTTAAATATTTGCTTTTCAATGTGATGGTTATTATTTCCTGACTAGTGCAGTTTGAAGGTTTATGCAATTGCACAAACTCCCAGCTGTCACCTCTCCCGCTGGTGCTTTGAGAAGACCTCAGAGTGCTAGTGTGTGTGGAGGACGTTTTAGCTCTCCTGGGCTTGCTCCACTGGCTGGCGCTTCTCATACAGCTTTCTACTTAGCGTTTGTTACAAAGAGCTCTTAGCAAACTGTGGCAGAGCCTTGGCCTTTATCTTATGTTTAAAAGCACCTCCTCTGCTTTGGATATTTATGAGTTTTTTGCTCACTGTCCATAGTATTCTGCTTCACTATTTAACTATCTGTTATTTTAAGGAACAAATATGTTTTAAGCTTTTTTTTAGCCTTTATATGAAGAGTTTGTATGTGTGTCCATGCATGTGTGCTCATGTATGTAGAGATGTATTTCTGCATTTATCTCTGGTCTGGTTTCGATCTTTCACAGAGTCTTAAATTCTTTAATGCCTATGAAAAGTACTGTTTTGTTCTGTCAACTTTCTGTATTTTCTTATAGTGCAGAAGTGAGCATTAAAACTTGAATTTTCAAATCTTAGTCCTCTTGAGGTCAAGTAACGTCATGGTAGAATAATGTTACTCTTCATAATCTGAGAGATCTTTTAAAATATCCTGAGAACATAGTAATTTTCTAGTGCCCCTTTAGACGTGCGTGTGGGTCCCAGGTCATTCTTCTCCTCCAATGCCTGTGTGTGGCACAGCTCACCCTGCCTTTCTCCCCGCTCCCCAGGGCATCCGACATGTGGACCACTTCGGGTTTATCTGCCGGGAGTCTTCGGGCAATGGTGGCTTTCATTTTGTCTGCTACGTGTTCCAGTGTGCGAACGAAGCTCTGGTGAGAGAGGGGGCGCCCTTCCTTCCTAGACACCGTAAGGACGAGGGATTTCAGTTTTGCTGGTTTTTCTGCTCTCTGCAAAACTGCAGCCTCCTCACTGGATTAGTGTTTAACTCTTCACTCAGTAACTGACATCTTGCTAGTATATGCACAGCTGAGATTCAGTTGGGTTTGCATTTTTCATTATGCTCAAAGAACATGCTTGCTTTCACACTTTGGTCTTTAGTTTTTAAAAGTAGTTTTGGACTTTTGATCTGAACAGTGCTTTCTACTCACTATTTAATTTATATTTTTATTGTATTTTTAATTTTTTCCTTATCTGCTCTAAAAGCTTTAAGCCTCCAGGTAGTATTACTCAGACAGTAAGCCTAGCAGTATTACCATTGTCTGCCTGCTATGAAGAATTGTCCAGGAAAACCTTAAAATACTATGTCTCTTCCACAGATTTCCTGACATTTCAGCCCAATTGAAATTGACTTGTTGCTGGTTGTAATTTCTCTTCTCTTCCATTAGGTTGATGAAATCATGATGACCCTCAAGCAGGCTTTCACGGTGGCCGCGGTACAGCAGACTGCGAAGGCGCCAGCCCAGCTGTGTGAGGCCTGCCCCTTGCAGGGTCTGCATAAGCTCTGCGAGAGGATAGAGGGTGAGTGGGGCACTGTCAGGTGTGACGGAATGAAAGCTGACCACCCCAGAAGGCCCAGCAAGGTGGTGGCATTTGCTGCGGGCTTCTGTCTGACTGAGGGTCCAGTGAGACGCAGGGATCCCGGGTCACAGCTGAGCTCTCACCACCAGGAGTTGGCTTCTGCCCGTCAGATATTTTGCTGGTGCTGAGGATAAGGACCTGTGCTGTCTGCTGCCATGGCCCCCGGATACCCTCGGAGTAGTGGAGGAGTCATGGTCTCTGAAGCATAACATCTGTCAGGACTGTGCCCCTGCAGAGAGAGATAGTAAGAGAGGACCCCAAGAATTGCCGCTAGGGCTTTCCATGAGCAGGGCATGGGCAACCTCTGTCAGCACAGTGGGAATGGAGAGGCGTTTGCAGTCCCACCTCAACCCCACGTACCTGCAGTAACAGCCATGTCCTGCCGTGCTCACTTCTCATGTTACCTTTTTGTTTGGTTCAGGGTCTGCAGAGTGTTCAGGGTCTCACTACTTAGATTGGACTCGTAGCAATTCTCCTGTTTTCAGCCTCCCAAGTGCTGGAATTACAGGCGCACCCCATCACGTCCAGTCTCAATCGCCATGTGGAGCCAGCATGGCAGGCTGGGGATCGAACCCCGGCCGCTGCGCTCTGCCTAAGCACGCACGTTAGTCTGCTAAGCTATCTCGCCAGCCCTATTATGTTAATAATCCTGTGGCTCAGTGATGTTAAATCCATTTACACTGTTATATAACTGTCACCGCCATCCAGCCCTAGAACTTTTTAATATTTCCAAATTGCAATTTATTATAAGGAGTTTGTTTTTTTGGGTTTTTTTTTTGCTGGCTTGAGCTGCCTGGGGGGCAGATCTGGTAAGGCATGTAGAGCTGGGGATCCAATCGAGGTCCCCTGGGCCTGAGTGGGTTTGCCCAAGCAAGCGCTTAAACAACTTAGCTAACCCACAAACCTCCTGCAATTTATTATAGATTAACTCCCCTTTTCTATTTTACACCAGTCTCGGGCAACCCCTATTGTCCTTTCTGTTTCTGTGAAGTGGACTATTTTAGGTACCTCACATAATTGAAATCAGAGTGCTTCTTATTTCTCCTTTATTTCACTTAGCATAATGTCTTCTAGGTGCCATTGTGTTGTGGTATGTGCTAGAATTTCTTTTTTTAAGACAGAATATCAGTCTTTTTTTTTTTAATTTTTATTTATGTATGTGTATATGTGTATGTGTGTGGCCAGCTCAGCCCACCAGGGGGCGGGGCTGGCTGGCATGTGGTGCTGGGGGATTGAACCGCGGTCCCTGTGCTTTAGCTAAGCTTGTTCTAAGTAGGTGCTTTAGACCACTGAGCCATCTCACCAGCCCCAGAATATCAGTCTTTTGTGTGCATACCACATTTTACTTATCTGTTAATTCATCACCTGGCTTCTGGGTTGTTCCTATCTTTTGGCAGTTGTGAATAATATAAATGTTCAAGTTTCTGCTTTTAGTTCTTTTGGGTATCTACACAGATGTGACATTGTTGGATATGATGGAATTATATTTAATTTTATGGGAACAGCTATATTATTCTATAACAGTCACATCATTTTACCATCCCACTGTCAATGCAATGGGGCATTTCCAATTTCTCCATATTTTCACCAACACTTTTTAAGTGGTAGCCAGACTAGTGGATATGAAGTGGTATCTGATTTCCCTTTTAAAATAAAATAGCTGGGGCTGGGGAGATGGCTCAGTGGAATAAGCGCTTCCCTGGCAAGCGCAAGGGCCTGAGTTCAATCCCTGGTTCTGAAAAAAAAAAAAAAAATAGCTGACATTTTAAGGTCTGGGAAGGTACATTTGTGGCATTATATTGCTCTTTAAAATGAACATGATTAATATTTTAGACTGCTTTTCAAGTTGTTTCTATTTGCTGATATTATACAAAATATATCTGGGAATGAGAGTAGTTTGGCTTTAACTAGATGTCACAGTTGAGAGGATCACTAACCCTTTCCTTGGTGGCTGCCAAGATAAAGTAAATGATGACAGAAATGTCCCTTAAGAGTTTATTAAGAAGCCAGGAATGAATTTGTCCTTGAAGATTAAGTGGATGGTGCTCTGCAGAGCTGGAGTGCATCCAGAGTTCCACTTGATAAATCTTTCTTTGGTCTGGCTGAGCTTTCACGAAGTTACAGTTGAAAAGTTTAATCAGGCTAGAGATTGCTCCTGTAGTTTTGGAAATAATCATTTAATTCATCTATTACATAACAAAACACAACAAAAGAATTTGAACATTCTATGAATGTAAAAACCTGAAATCCTGCCAGAAGTCTGGGAGGGCTGTGTCTCCTCCACGCTACAGGCTAGAAGCCTTCCTAGAAGTATAGGTGGGACGTTACCAGAGGCTGCCTTTGTCCAGGAGGTGCTGATCACATTGTGGGCAGTCTTGGAGTTCCTTGCTCTCTGCTGTGTTGGTCTTAATAAGTAGAATGAAGTGTTTTACTGAAAGCCACTGTAAAGATAGTTCTACCAGGAAGTTGTCATCTGACCAAGAGCACCAGAGAGCCCAATGGTGTGGCCACAAGAAGAGAGACTCATACACGGTGTTTTTCTCAACCACTGAATACCAGACTGTGCTCCAGAATCAGTAACGCAGGATGAGCACGCCGTTCTGTGCTTGAACTATGCAACTAGACAGCTGTTGGTTCCACTTAGATTGCATTTTGCATTTTGTAAAGGTTAGAGGTGCATTTGGGGATTGATACAATTAATTATACTTTCTCAAAAAAATCTAAGCTGAGGCTTTCTTTTGCTCTCAGAGCAAAGTCATTCATCAGAACTCTGTGGTGAGATCTTTGCAGTATGAGCAGCCCCTCCAACAGGGGATTCCCTCAGCCCTGTGGACCTGTTTGTGATTTGTTCCTTGCTCCCCACCCACCTCTTATAGCATCCCATGGTCCCTGTGAGGTGCTTCAGCATGCACGCACGAGTGGCTGAAGGTGATGAGACCCGGGTGGGGTCATTTGGCTCAAAATGGGGCAGGTAGGACCTGAGGGACTGAGACAAGTTTTTCATCCTTGTGAATGTTTTACCCAACAATATGGGCATTTCCAAAATATGATGCTTAGACCGTGTCAGAGACTTACTCCATATTTGGGGAGGATTTTTTCTTAGTGATTATTGAGTGCTTACTCTATTCATAAATTTGGTCTGGTGGGCTGATCCATCATATCTGGTGAATGAAGAGGGGTTAACGTTTATGATTTCATTTGACATTTTCAAATGTTTACTTTTTTTTCCCCTTTATTTTGGTGAGACATAGAATTAACCCCAGGGTTTTTATACTGGGCTATACCTTTAAAAAATTTTTAATTTGAAACTTTATCCCCTTGTCCCGGCCTCCCAGAGTGCTAGGATTACTTGACAAACCTCTGTGCTCAACCAAGTGTATTCTTCGTTTTATTCTTCTTAGACTTTGAGGTTTTTCATCCTTGTCAATGTTTTACCCAACAATATGAGTATTTCCAAAATACGATGCTTAGACCATGTCAGAGACTTACTCTGTATTTAGGGAGGATTTTTTTCTTAGTGATTATTGAGTGCTTACTGTATTCATAAATTTGGATGTTATTTTGCTCCAGTATTTTAGTAGTTGATTCGGTCAGGCCTGGAATCTGCTTTGCTGGCTGGCTGTGAGCAGGCAGCAGGCTGGAGAGTGCACAGCACGCTCTGAGCAGCTGTGCATCCCTCCTCACCTTCCCACACCTCGGCCAGCCTCCACGTCCACCTTTGCACTGAAGCCACCTGTGTGTCAGGTGGCCTGGCTGTGCTGGGCAGGGGAGGCAGTGAAGTCCAAGCCTGGAATCTCATTTTGTCCCTTGTTTGGTTAATGGCTTTGGACAAATGCTCAATTCTGTGGAACATTGGTGTTTTCATCTCTACATGAAGATCACTAGAAAAGTAGGCTTATGCCAACATTTATTTGAGGATTAAATGAGGTGATAATGTTCCATCATTCAAGAACACTGGTTATTTTCAGGGTGCCCTTTTAAAGCATTATGTGTGGTTAAAAAAAAAGGGAGGGAAGCATGATTGCTGGAAGTGGACGTCACTGCGACAGTTGGAATGGCTGCCTCTTGCTGTGTAGCCTGCTCCGCCTGCAGCTGCTGGGGACCGAGAGCAGTGGCAGGGCAGCTGGCTTCTGCGGGGCCCCTGACCTTTGACAGTCGCCCAGCCTTTAGACAGACGTCAGCACATTGGGCTGTAAAATAAAGGTTATGAATGCCAGGTCCCTCTGGGCAAGTCCTTGGTGGGCAGGGTTTCCTCCTTGTTGTGATCCGCAGCCCTGTAGATATGTCCACTCTGCTCTTGGGCCCAGAGCTGCCCCAGTGCCTGCTTGGGGTCCGCCCAGAATGGCTGTGGCGGGAGGGTGCTGCCCGCAAAGGAAGAGGAACCAGCAGCAGCTTCTTTCCCCAAGGCAGTTGGGTCAGCAGATTCCTCCGTTCACAGTCTTCTCTTCTTGTGGAACATTTCTCTCTGGGCAGCAAGAAAAGACAAAACAGAACCTGAACTATATTCACGTGGAGATGCAGCTTCCTCCATATCACATTCTCATGGGCTCTGCCATTTTACAGAGAGATTTTATTTTTGTAACTTTCCTCAAAATTTTTTGTAATATTAATGAAATGGTCTTAAGGTTTGAGAAGCATATGATAGTGAAAGGGGAATTGTTAGATACTTTTTATGTGAAGAGAATCTAAAAAAATAGAGGGTCAATTTTTAAACTGAATGCTAGTTATTTTTCCTTAAGAAGTTCTCATGTTCACATATAAATGTTCATGAGATGTTATCATTCTCTGAGAACATTCTGATTGTATCAAGCATCTTAGTGGGGGCAAATAATTTGGAATTGTATAAACCTGAGGTAGAGTCCAGGCAGGCGGGCCTTGGAAATTCTGCACGCTCCCTGGCCTCAGTCCCTCACTGTGGCAGAGGGACCACAGCACCCTATCTTGGGTTGTAGTAGGGAGCAAGTGAATGGAGGAGTTTCAGTGCTTAATGTCCTACGCCTCATACATACCTCAGAGCTCAGAGCTGATGAAGACACTACCCTTGACTAGAGGTTCCCCAGGGGCTCCACAGCCTTCACTGGATGAGAAGGCGAAGGGAACCAGCGTGGGAGCAGCTGACTGCACCGTATGATATGTAAATAGTTTCAGCACCTCTCTCTCTCTCTCTTCTCTTACAGGAATGAACTCTTCCAAAACCAAATTAGAACTCCAGAAGCACCTGACTACACTGACTAATCAGGAGCAGGCGACTATTTTTGAAGAGGTGCAGGTACAGTGCACAGGCTGTGGTTTGGAGCAGGAAGGCGAAGGCAGCAGCCTCCCCCCCCCAACCTCCCACCCCTGGTGTCCTGCACACAAAGTAGTGCAGAAGGCGACAACGTTATGGCCCACAGAGGCCCTGTCATTGTAAAGGTCAGCAGTCTCCAGAGGGGTCCACTTGGAGCTGCAGGTTCCCATTCCCAGCAGGTGTTGGCTCTTGCCCTCAGTGAGGAACTCAGAAGTGTCTAGAGCCTGGAAACAAGGAGCAGGAAATTAATCTCAGCTGGGAGACAGAAGCCCTGGATCGCTCTACACACTCTCCTTGTCCCCCAGGAACCTCTGCCCCCCACCCCCAAGGAGCCCCTTCCTGCTGGGGATTTTAGCCCACAGTGGGAAGTCACATGCGACACCTGAGTCCATTTGGGCATGCATATGAACACAGTTCTTCCACCTTCCTTTTTATTTTTATTAAATTTTTGGTTTGGAAAATGTTTAGGTAATGTTACATGCTTCAAGCCATGTAATGTACCAAAATTAAAAAAGAAGCATTCGCCCGTCAGCACCAGGAACACGTCCATCAGCTTTCTGCATTAGGCTTTAGAATCAGTTCTGGTGCTTGTGTTGAGCTGCTGCATATCTTGGGGAAACTGTGCCGTGGGTGCTGGCATGCCTGGTGTCTGGTCATCCTCTGCGAATATAATGAGCTCACTGCAAATTTCATGTCTGATTTAGCCAGGGAGCATTTTTTGGGTTTCTGGCACTTTTCTAGGAAAGCAAGCATATGAGAATAAAGGATAAATCTGTTTCCCTGAGGGGCGAGGTACTGGTGACCAGCAGTTCTACAGGTGAAAGAGTGGTTCAGTGAAGCAAGGCTGGCAGCTGTGGGGTAGAGTTCCATCTGCCCCCTCACTGGGGAGAGACTAATGATAGCCCCAAGATCTGTTTCCTGTTTGTGTAAAAAAGTTGAAAGATTATCCTCTTGTCTGTAGTCTCATGTTATAATACATCTCTCGTTTCTTTGTTCTTGTGCAGTAGGACTGGGATGTATTTGTAGAAAGCAAGCCTAGGAGGATTTTTAAAAATGTCACAAATAGACTAGAGCAGTAGTGGCAGACCAGTGACACATGTGGCACAGCGGGCACTTTTTTGTCATTGAATGTTCTGGAAGGTTCACCATCACTGGCCTAGACGGTCATTTTCACAATTTTCAATTGATTTCTTGTTCTCTTACTTTCTGATCCAACTCTGCATTTAGTTATTTGCTTTTTCTTAAAGGTGGTCCTCCTAGCCAATTGTAATGAGAGTTGAACTTGGCGTCAGGAGTGGGCACGTGGCTTCTGATTGTGACTGCATTTAGAGTCAAAGCCAAGGTGCTGGGTGCTGATCCATCAGCTGTGGAGCAGTTGACTCCCTGAGGACGGCGTCTTCTGGCAGGTGCAGAGATGCACTCCCTTCCCTGTTGCACGTTTGCACTGGAGTCAGCACCATGTAATTTTCTGCAGGCAGCACAGTGGCCCAGGGTAGCATGCCCCAGTCTGGTGCAAGGAAGAGTTCCTGGTAGGATTTCGAGAGTCTCTCTTCCATTGAGGTTTTTGAGACGTAACACACATGGTTGAAGAAACTTCAGAAAGAAGCTGATGACAAAATTTGCTTTAAAAAAAAAGCAGTTAATGTCCTAGGGCTCAATGTATTGTTCTAGACATCTGTTTCGTTTATTTTTCTTTGCTGAAGCAAAAAAACATTGTTCACTGGCTTTGAAAACCCAGTATATGCCTTGTCTTCCATCATAAGTTGCCTCTTCATTGAATGATTCACATCGGACACCGTCTTTTGATATCTATTACAAATTGTGCTGCTATAAACATGGGTGCCCATATAATGCTGTGGTACAATCTTTGTAATTTTTCTGGGAGGGTGCCCAAAAGGGAAATAGCTGGGTGACGTGCGATCTTGCATCCTATTTTTTGAGGAATCTCCACACTGATTTCCACAGTGGTTATACCAGTCTACACTCTTAGCAACAGTGGAGAAGGATTCCTTTTATACCATACCCCCTCCAGCATTTATTATTGGTTGCTTTCTTGATAGTAACCATCCTTTCTAGGGTGGGATGGAATCTCAGTGTTGTTGTAATTTGCATCTCTTGAATGACCAGTGATGTAGAATATTTTTTCATATATATTTATTTTCTGTTTGTATTTCTCCGCTGAGAAGTGGGTATTCATCTCAGATGCCCATTTTTTGATTGGGTCTTTGAATTTGGGAAGTCTGATTTTTTTCCAAGTTTTTCATATGTTCTTGATACTCTGAGGAACATCTAACAAACATTTTTTTCCCACAGTGTGGATTGTCTCTCCACTCTGTTGATGATTTCTTTTGCTGTGGAAAAGCTTTTTAGTAGTATGAGATCCCAGTTATTAATTCTTGGTGATAGTTCTTGTGTGATCAGGGTTTTATTCATATAGTCTTTGCCTATACCAATGTCTTCAAGAGTTTTGTCTATTGTATCTTCCTGGAAGATTTAATGTTTTTGTCTTAATATTAAGGTTTTGATCCATTTTGAATGTAGTTTAGTGCATGGTGAAAGATATTGGGTCCAATTTTAATCTTTGGCATGTGCAGAGCTGATTTTTCCAATACCCTTTATTAAGGAGACTGTCCTTCCAGTGAGTGTGTTTGGCACCTTTTTCGAAGATAAGGTGCCTGAGTGCATCTGGAGCTGGTCCTGCATCTTCTAATGAAAGCTGCCGTAAACAGCTTTCATGTTTAAAGAGGCCGTAAACAAAAACATGGCCTGCTGCTTTATAAGTCCTCTAATAATAGAATGGTGAATATTTTTCTTTGCAGTCTTTCTTGGAGGCAATTAGTTTCTGAAAAACTCCCCAAGGCAAATTCTTATCAAGCAAATATAATTGCTGTTGAAATTAATGATACATGATTACTTAAAAAGTTATGAAAACATACCACAGTGTTCTTATAAATGAATGTTTAATGCCCCCCCCAAAAAAGCATGACACACAGCCACAGGGAGACAGAGGTCAGTAGTAACTGTGAGTGGTGTAGATGACACGGACCCAGCACCCTAAGGACATGACTGCAGGTGGGCGCTGGCCCTGTCCAGCCCTCGTGTCCTAAGAGAACTCATGACATGGGGGAGCCGCCCTCTCTGTGGCGCTCTATTGGAAGCGCGTAATTCCACACAGGCCTTGCTCTCTTCGCACTGCTCTCCTGCGGGCCCACAGCCCAAATTCATGCTGCTGTCCTTGGCGCAAAGAGCCACTTTCAGCTGAAGTAAGGCCAGTCTAAAAAAAGTTCTAAAGTCTGATTCTCATAATCAGGTTGAGTGTATTTCAGGGAATGACTTAATGAAAAGCCAAGCAGATAAATAGGCATTAAGTAGCATGACTTCACAAGATATGGATCAACCACTCAGAAGATCCTTTTGTTCACTTTCTTTTTTTTTTTTTTTTATCGAGAAACAATAAGGTTTATTGCCAAGTGAAAAAAGCCAGTCTAAAAAGACTATATATGCTATGATTTCAACTATAGCATATTCTGGAAAAGATGAAACTTATAGAGACAAAAAAGTCCTCAGGGTGAGAGGAGGGAGGGAAGAATGAATAGATGAATAACAAATAATTTTTATGGTAGCGAATTATTCTGTATGATACAACAGTGGATACAAGTCATTAAGCATTTGTCAAAACTCATAAAACCGTTCAGCACATAATGAGCTCCAGTATAACAGTGGATATCAGCTAATAAAAAGTGTCAGTATTGATTCAGTAGTCGTTACAAATGTACCATACTCATGGAAGATGTTAATATGAAACAGGGGGAGATGAAGTCAAATCCACCAATAAGTTCTCTAAACATGCTCCACACTGGTTAAGTGTATCTCACCTCAGCCAGTAGTTGTACCAAGTATCCAATTATGCAGGGTAGAAGAATCCAGGAGTTGACTTTGATTCCTTCCTCATACTGAACTCTATATCTGATTAATCAGGAAGATCTGTCACTTTGACCTCCTAGACAGAACTGGAAGCCATCCCTTGTCTTTGTTCTCCACCATCATCCTTGCTCATCAGCCATTCTGGAGACTACTATAAGTGCCTTTTCAATTTGCTCTTCATTTTGATTAACTTTCTCCATTTTTCATCCACTGTGGCTTCAAATCTCAAATATGAGTATATATTCTGTTGTCGAACACCCTTGATGTCTTCCTGTTGCTCTGAGGATAGAGATAGAGCTATTTCATGTGGCTTTTCTTCATGATTTATCTCTGCCTCCTTGTTCCATGCTCATTTCCAATTACACATGCCTGTGTATTTCAGGGAAGCTGGAGTCTTGATCTCTTTCTTTTCTTTTATTTATTTTTTATTTTTTATTTTTTTCAAATCAAATTGGTAGGACAGTTTCTATAATTCACACATTGCATACATTCTTCCTAGTGGTTAATTGCTGTACAAGATGCGGACATGATATCCTATTTACAAACACCATTAGAGCAAATCGCTCTATTCATTAAGAGAATGTAACTATATATCTATCCGAACCACTTTGAATACACAGATACAAAATGGACATTCATCTGTATCCCCTTTTTTTTTGTTAAGTTTCGTTATTTGAATATTATAGGTGTGTAAACTCAGTAAAATATTCTGAAAGGGTCCAGTAGCCCATAATAGTATTGGGTCTTCCGCTTCACTGGCAATGTCAGAAATTGTTGACCTGATAGCTCAACAATTGTTGACCTGATAGCTCAAATTGTTCCCCTATAGCTCAACACAACAGCATGGCTTTACTTCTTATATTTCGTTTTTATACTTTTCTACTGGATGGTTAAGACCAAGATAAAGCAGGACCTATGCAACAAGAGTTGTAGCTTTTGGGTCTGATAAGGTCAGTGAAATCCCCTCAGGATTTATCCTGAGATCCTGTACCTCAGATCGTAGAACCTTGTCAATGTCAGCCATGTGGATGAGTCATGGCCATTGCTTGGCCAATGTGCTGTCTGTGAAAGCCTGAGAGAATGTTTTCTCTCCAAGTGACTCTCCTCTTCTGTTCACTTTCTGAAAGCTGTATTGATTTGGTTCCATGGTTTAGAAGTTATTCTTACATGAGACATAGTTAGATTTAAAAACAAAAACAAAAACAAAAACAAACAGAATATCGTATGCGGGTGAGCACCGGCTTTGTAAGTAGTTTCCTCACAGCTTTCTGATACTCGTCATCCATGCTATAGGTTCATTTTCTAGTTGCCTTCACACTACTTGATGAGCCCTTTATAGAAATAAAGAAAAGAAACAACACAGTTGATTTTGTTCCCTTTGAAGTTAGTTTTATAATTTTAAAAATTAAATTGTAATATGCCTATAGAAAAGCACACAAATCCAGTTCAGTGATTTTTTTTTCAGTACTAGGGATTGAAAATTTTATTTATGCATTTTTTTTCAGTCAGGGTTTATTGAAGCCACTAATTGCCCATTGCCCAGGTTGGCTTGAATGTTCGATCCTCTTGCCACAGCCTCTCAGAGCTCTGGGATTACTGGCATACAGGGCCATGCTGAGGAGGTGAGGATACCTGTGGCACCAGCACCCACGCTGTGAGCCGGGCCCTTCCCAGTGTGAGGAGCCCAACCTCATCACTGCCCCGTAAATGCCGTCCCGACTTCTGAGACAATTTTGAATTATCAGTTCAGTTTTGCCTGCAAAATGATGTTACACAACTTAATTTACCATTAATCTCCTTGGATTTGTCACTGATGAATTAACAAATGCTTTTTTTTAATTAAAAAAAATTTATTTTATTTTAGGGAAGGGCCTACCAGGTGTTCAGGGTCTCACTGCTAGATCAGACTCACAGTGATCTGCCTGTTTAGAGCCTCCAAGAGCTGGGATCACAGTTGCATGCCACCATGCCCAGTCTCAACTGCCGTCTCAGTGTGCCCCTGGGGCAGAGCCAGCACCTGCACCAGCATGGCAAGCCTGGGGATTGACCCCCTGGCCCCTGTGCCTGCTTGCAGGCGCTTTAATCTTCTGAGCTATTTGACTGGCCCACAAATGCTTTTAAAATTAAGTCAGTTTTAAGAAATAAAGGTATGCCTCTGTTGACGGTAAAGTCACCAGCTGAGTCAGGGAGTGGACTCTTACCTTGTTTTGTTTTTTTTTCTTACCCTGTTTAATAATTATTTTGAGGAAGACTTCCTAAACCTCCCTGCACCACGGCATTGTGAGGCTTTCGTGACTGCTGTTGTGTTGTGAGCTCTGGTGTGCACACTCTAGGCTGTGGCCTCAGTTGTTACAGGGTGCTAAGTGTGTACTCAGGCAGCTCGTTGGCTGCCACTAAATGGCTTCTTCCACGCGGATGTGAGGGCTGACGTATTAGCACTCATGTCCGTGTCACCTGCTTACTTCATGAAATGAGCAGTCACGAGGAGTACTGCCTGGCACACCACATATTCCTGTGAAAGTATCCCCCGGTTTAAAAAAACAGGAGAGTAAGGAGTGGGTCAACCCACAGGTACTGCTTAGGCAGGGCCTCCAGTTTTGAAGCAGTTGTTTTGTTCATGTTTGTTTCCATGCTGGGGATAAACCCAGGGCTTTGTGCATGGTAGGCAAGCACTCCCCCACTGAGCTACACCCTTAGCTTCTGAGCTGTTTTAAGGGTTCCAGAAAAGCTATGCTGAACACAGAGTTGCCCTGTAACTTTGCACTGCCTTTGCTCCACACTTTTCCCCATCGATAATGTAACCTCTTGCATTAGTGTAAGCTACAGGTGCATGTCTACTACATTAATGCTTATAGTCCACAGTTTATACTCAGGGTCCTTGTAGGGGCTTGGCCATTGCACAAGATGGTCACCATGTGTCCATATGCAGGGTAGCTTCAAGGCTCTACCTGTTCTTTTCCTCTTCCCTCTTGCCTCTGGCAACCACTGGTGTTTTTACCATTTCTGTAGTTCTGCCTTTTCCAGAAAGTCAGTCTAAAACAGTGTGCAGCCCTTTGAGGTTGGCTTTACTTAGTAGTAAGCACTGAAGGTTCCCTCATGTCTCTTCATGACTTAATACAGTAGCTCATATCTTTGTTTAGTGCTGAATAATATCCCATTGGTAGATGTACCACTGTTTATCCATTCACCTATTGAAGGACATCTTGGTTGCTTCTAGGGTTTGACACTAATGAATAAAGCTGTTGTTCACATCCAAGTGCACGTTCGTATGTGCACATACGCTGGCAGCGCATTCAGGTAAATGCCACGGGCTGCCGGGTCGAGTGGTAAGCATCAGGAGCTGCCCAGCCATTTCCCACAGTGGCTCTACCATTTTCCATCCCACCAGCAACGAATGAAGGAACTAGAACTGTTGCTGTTTTCTGGACCTGCAGACTCAGAATACCTGTAGCCTGCTTGAGAGCTGTCCCTTAAGTTGAAATGTCATCCTCTTTTTGAAGATTAATGAAAGTCCACTCTTAAAAAAATTCACGTTGCCTATGATGTGAAATTTTGTGACATCAGCATTCATGGCCTAGAATTTAGGTTGAGAAACTCTGTTCTGCATGTAAAACATTCCACCGAGCAGGAAGTGTTCAATGAAAATACAGCCTCCTAATGGTAGATGGTCTTCTCCTTGAGTAACAGGAACAGTATACCACTTCACTGGTCATTTCCTTTAAGAAAAGGCTGGTCAGAGGTCTGGTGATGGTTGCGTTGCGCTGCTTGTGACGTAAAGGGTTACAGAGCTGTCCCTTACCTGGCTGGGGAAGATGATGCTGCCTGAAATAGCCCACCTGTTGGCTGCAGCCAGACTCTGGTAAAGGGCAGGCAAGAAGTTTAGAGTTCAGGAGAGAGGAGGCCAGCGCAGTGGGTAGCTGTCAGTAGTTACTTACGAAGTTTATAGACTAGATGCTTGTGTGTCTCCAGAGTCGTTTGTTCTGTTTCCCTCACAGTCCCACAAGATGCTGTGTTCAGTTAGATGGCCTTACACACATGGGCTTTGATGTTTCAGATCCAGCAAATTTGTGAGCTGAAGGATTTTACAGAGTTTATTTATACGCACCCTCATCATAATGGGAGGGAGCTCAAATAAACGACTTGGTTTTGGTTAGCAACTACAACATACTTATTTTGATTTGTAGTTCAGTGTGCTTTGCCTCTGCTGTGTGGAAAATTAAAAGGCATAGAGAGGATTTAAAGAAAAGGGTAAGTGGGCATGCGAAGAGGACAGGGAGAAAGAGCAAGAGGAGGACTCAGCTGTGAAATTTGGTCTCGTGCATGCCCCGGGCATCCAGAGTACCTGGTGAGCTCACATGGATGAGAAACTCCAGCCCTGCATCCAGGGGAGCCTCGGAGATGCGTGCGCATCATGGCTCCGGCCCCTGGGTCTACATAGATTTTAATTCTTTGTTTTTAAAAATTATTAAATGTTTTGACTGCTTTCATCTTATGTCAAAAATTTATTTTACATAAAAATCAATCTGGCCCACTGGCTTCTGTTTCCTTTTTTTTTTTTTTTTTTTTAAATCATCTTTCCTGTTAAGATTGCTGTTGCCCCCTAGTGAGAGGACCCGGTAAAGGCAGTGCTGTAGGTAGTGGAACCTTGTGTACAGACAGCACTCAAAACTGGTTTGGCAATTTTGTTGACAATTAAAAAGATAAGTAATATTTTGTGTCTTTTTTTTTTTTTTTCAAAAGAAATTGAGACCAAGAAATGAGCAGCGGGAAAATGAATTGATCATTTCTTTTCTGAGATGTTTATATGAAGAGAAGCAAAAAGAACACATTCATTTTGGAGAGGTGAAGCAGGTATGGTACTTTAAACTCTTACAGCTCTTTGCTAGGATACTTACTGTGTGCACAGTCCTGAGGGTTTTCTGAAACACTGGAGCAGCTTTTTCACCTTTCTAATTTTCTGCTATATATGTATTTATTTATGACAGGGCCTTGCTTTGTAGTTCAGGCTGGCCTTGAACTCACTATATAGGCTGGCCGGCCACAAACTCCTGGGGGTCCTTCTGCCTCAGCCTCCCAAGGGCTGAACTATAGGATGTGGCCCCGTACCCAGCTGAGTTTAGTCTCTTTTACCACTAAAATCTCCAGTGTCTTAAAATGGAAACAAATCATTAAACATATTGTCCCACTGGCCTGATCTATGCCCAGCTCATAAAGACGCTACCATGAGTCATAAAAATGAGTAGACAAATAAAATGTTTTATTTTCATTTGAGGCACATATACGGAGAATTTGGGAGTGTTAAGATCATGGCTGAATAAAAGCATCTGTCTGCACCATGGTTGGTGGGAGCAGTTGCTCTTAGCAGAAATGTGGCACTGAGCACCGAGGATTCAGATAAGAGCTTTGTGACTTGCAGAGAACCCGTCTCTGTCCCCTCCCCTTTCTCCCTGGAAAATTGGGAATGACATTCCGTGTTGTCTTTGAAATCATGTCAGCATACCTGAAAGTTCTTTGAAATATAAATGTTAACATAGGGTGTTGTTACAGACAAGTTAGACCCAGTGGTACAAAGCCTCGCTTATGCGCGGTTATTGCCTCTTCCTGTCCTCTGCTGTCCAGCATGTGAGTTTGCTTTGCTGTTTGTGCAGTGATCGGTCTGAGGCTGGGCTGCTGCCAGGCATCTGCCTTTAATGTTTGAGTTTGCTCGGCAGACAGTGCATGCTGCGCGTTTTCTCCCGGCTCCCTGTGAGCTCTTCATCACCCGAGTGCACATGCACATGTGTGCTGAAGTCAACTGCAGGAAGTCAGTGGGGGTTATTCACACTCCTCCATTTTCCAAAACAGGCTGTTCCTTTTTTCTTAAACTTGTTCAGAATGCTTATTCCTAAAGGGAAGATGTGTTAGTGCTCAGTGCTGTGCCTCTCCCCATAGCGGACCTTGCTGTCTGCCCTTAGAACTGTTTCACCTGGTTGCCCAATTGCAGCCTCCGCCTTCAGTTGTCCTGGCCCCCTGGCCTCCTAGCTGAGCTTGTAGAGCTCGTGTGCAGCGTTGTGTAGAGGATGAGATTCCTCTCCTAGCTGAACGTAGGGTCTTTGCCCTGAGCTGTATTCTCAGCCCTTTTTATTTACATTGAGAGATCTCACAGGATTGCCCTCATAAGGCTTAATCTTGTGATCCTCCTGCTTCAGCCTCCAAAGGTGCTGGGCCCTGTGACACCAAGACACCCCTGTATCACTAATATCTGGCTTTGGCCTTGGTGTGCTCCTTGCCCTCCCTTCCCATCCTTGCTCTGTGAGTCATTTTGGGGGTTCTGCACCCTCCCCTGCACATAGGATGGACCCACTGAGTCTTAAATTTTCTGGAATTATTTTTGCTCCCCTTTTTATGCTTTCTCTCCTATTTGTGCTACTGATAACTTTTCACTGTTCTGACTTTTTTTACAGGGTTAGTCTGATTTGTTCTGGCAGGAAATTTTTTGAAATAATTTATAACTGCTAGGAAGAGGAATGACGCATTTATGGTTGTTGGAAAGTTATCTTGCGCTACATACGTGAACATTTATGGAAATGGAAAGTTTTGACCTTAGTGTCTACTCATTTTTATGGCTCATAGTAGCATCTTTATGAGCTGGGCATAGATCAGGCCAGTGGGACAGTATGTTTAATGATTTGTTTCCATTTTAAGACACTGGAGATTTTAATGGTAAAAGAGACTAAAGTCAGCCCCACTTCCACGAGGGGTAAGCATTCTGTGGTCCCGCGGCTTATGTCTGTGTCTGTAAAGAAGTTGCTGTCTGTGACCCCAGCGTGGCTGGTGGCCCTCTGCTGGATGCCCAGCCAGGCGCTGAGCACTGGCCCTTTCTGAGCAGCAGCTGCTCTAAGATGAGTCAAAGGTAGCTTTGAGATTCGCCGGTGGATTTTCACTCATATTTTTAGATGTCAGGTAATTTGCCCATATGGTTGTCATTGCTTTTTGTTGCATCTCAATGTTCTGGTAGCCGCTGGTGGTGTGTTGTGAGGTGATCATGGCTTTGATAAAGAGCTCTTTGGCCACTGTCCTTCCAAAGTGGACAGAGGACAGTGAGCCCCACCCAGTGCCCTGCTTCAGTCAGTGGTGGCACAGAGACACTTTTCCCCTGCAAGAGCTGAACGCTGTCAGAGGAATTGATTTTCATCAGTGAGAAAAAAATGAACAAATCCTCAGACCTTATGAAAAGGGGATCAGTTTGGGCAAAGGCCCATAAGTTGAGTTACACTTAACTTCACGCACACATGTACAGTACAGGATATGAAGTGTTAGTAAGCTTATCAGTTCTCCTTGTATTCACAGAGTTGGTTCAGAAAATGTTACATCAACTGCCACTTAATGTTTGCCATGTACCAGACACAGTTCTTATTTCCGATGTGAATTACACAGTTCACTCTGACAGCATTTTGGGGTAGGCAGTACTGAGTAAGGTATGATTAAAAGAATATGGTATTTAAAATTTGTTATTATAAAAGGCATAATTCATTAATGCCTGTATAATACTCCCTCTGCTAGCACACGCTTAGCCCATCGTTCTTGCTATTTCATGAAGCAATTCTGGAAGTTCTCTTTCATGAGTGTCTCTTGTTATGCTGTCCTGGCCCCTTCGGTGACTTGAATTGCTTCAAAATGCTTATATGTCCTGGTCATTTTGACTTTGGGGAAGAACCAGAGTGACATGGTGCCAGAGCTGGTGCTTAGGAAGCTGAGGACATACCAGGGCTGCTCAAGCCTGCCTCTCTGCCTTGGATGCAGCCGCTGTCGCTATATCTAGGGTCATGCCTCAAAGACGTTCATGAAGGAAGACTTCCAGAACTGCTTTGGAAAGTGCAAGGATGATAGGACAGGCTTGTGTGAGGGTAGGTGAATGTTCTGAAGGGGTTAGTGGTCATATGCCTTACTGTTACGATCTTTTTTTTTGGCCAGCTCAGCCCACATATGGTGCTGGGGATCAAATCACAGTCCACTTTAGACCACTGAGCTCTCTCTTACTGTAACAATTTTTAATTTAAACATTCGCTGTATTGTTTGATCATACCTTGTCTCTGTATTAGAGATGGGGAAAGGGACATTGAAGTCAGACAGTTCACCAAAGAACAGCCGAAGTAATTTGTCTGAGGTTTAAGTACATTATTTTAATCATGTTTTTCTTAGGAGTTTAACAAAATATAGTGCTATAAAAATGTTGATTAGGCTCCATTCACTTTCCAATAGGTATGTTTTTCTTTCTTTTGTTTCCCCCTGACATTTTATTATGAGAAATTTCTAATAGGAAAGTTGAAAGATTAGACCCTAGCACTTACATTTTCCCAACCAGAGTTTAGTTCTTGACATTGTACTAAACTTGCTTTATTATATCTACTGCTCCCCATACCCATCCTTTTTTTTTAATCCTGTCATCAGAGTAGATCTTCAGCCTAAGACCTTACGCTGTGCTACATCCCCAGCCCTTTTTATTGTGAGACAGGCTCTAAGTTACCCAGGCCGGGCTCAAACTTGTGGTCATCCTACCTTGTCCTGCCTTGGCCTCCCAGAGTGCTGGGATTATAGGCATATACCACCTCGCTCAAGTTTGCCTTACTTTTTGTCACATTTCAAAATAAGTTTCTTATAAACTCTATACCTAGACATGTCTTGCTGAGTAGAATTCAGTGTTTAGTTTTTTTTGGAGGTGAAACAGAGATGTAGCAAGTTACACAGATCTTAACTGTCATTTGCTGGGTTTTGAGGACTGGTACATCAGATTGCTGTGATCCTGTCAACACAGAATATTTCCACTGTGCCCTGAGAAAGGACCCCAGATCCCTTTTCAGTATGTCCTCATTGCCCCCTCCCCAGGGCACCACCATTTTGGTTTCTCGCCCTTGGTTAGCTTTGCTGGTTCTCTAAATGTTAGAATACTTTCTTGGAGGTTCATCCTTGGTGCTGCATGTAAGGAAAGCTGTTCCTTTTCATCTTACTGTGTTACTCTCAGTTTGACTTTCCGATCTCCCTGTGGGGGACACTAGCTTCATCTCTGTGAAGGAGGCTGCTGATAGAAATGTGTCAGTGCAGTGTGATGGGATTCCAGCTGAGTCTCAGTGTGGGGACACGATCTAACACTTGTCCCCAAACTTTGGTGCTTAGACCCTCCCCATCCTTCAAAGTATGAACAATGTGCAAGTGCTGTAGAATTCACCTCAGAGTCCCTAAGCCAGACGTTGTTATCCAAGAACTAACACTGTCTTTGAAGGTGTTATTGCTTCTGTGCAGATGGTCCCCCAGAGCCTCAAGTACTAACAGTTGGGTCCTTTGAAAGTTGACTGAGTCATTGAAATATGAAAAGTAAATCTGATTGGAGGAGGTGGGGAGGGGTGGCACGGAGGGGTGTCTCTCCCTGCCTGCTTCTCCCTCTGTGCTCTGCTTCCTGGCTGCCACGACCCAAGCAGCTTTCCCTCACCCAGACCCTTCCACCATGCTCGACTGTGCAAGGACTGAAATGTAAGCCAAGATAACTGTCCTTAAGTTGTGGGTGTCCAGTGTTGGGCTCCAAAAATGAGAAAAGTTACCGACAGATTTTGTTACTGGCAGTGTGGTTATTGCTGTGAACTTAACTGACTGTGTCTTTCAGAAGCCTAGAACCCTTTGGAATGGGTTTGCATTTCAGTCCTTTGAAAGGTTTGTAGATGCTAGCTAAAGAAGCTCTAGAATGCTGTAAACTGAGCATGATGGGAGATTCTGGCCAGAGTTCAGTAGATGAGAATGTCAAATCAAAAGACAGACAGGAAGAACAGGCATGAGAGATTTCAGTGGGCAATAAGGAACTCCATTGGCAACTGGTTTCAAAACAGTATGTGCTATGCGCTGGCAGAAAATGTGTCTTAGTTCATGTCCTAAGACGTTGTAGGAGACTGGAATTGAGTTTGGTGGACTAATCTGATGGAGATTTCAGGATAGCCCAGAGTTGGGGCTGTGACTGGGCACTGCTGTGGGCTTTTAGCCATGTGCATACTGAAAATGAGGAGGAAAAAGCCTACCTTAAAAGTTTAGGCAAAGTTGAAGCAGAGGACAGTTGGTTGCTGGAAGGATTAGTTTTAAAAAGCAGCTAGGAAATTTACTACAGGACAATAGCAAACATGCCTTGAGGGCATATGAGGGATCAGAAAGACCCACCCAGTGGCCGGCTAAGAGGTGCAAAAATGAAAGACCTCTTTGAGAGGAAATTCCTGGGGCATCTTGCTAGAGAAAGGCACCCAGGAAATTGGTTTCCTGGGATGTTGTTCACAGAATTCAGACATTCAGTGCCTCAACAGCTGGGAGGCAAAGGGGCACGGCTGCTTCTAGAACTGGTGTCAGATCGTGGTGCCATCTGTGTGGTGGTTTTACAGACTGGCAGAATGCAGGAGTCATGGGGTGAGGAAGGCTTCCACTCAGATTTCAGTGCTCCCGAGAGGGAAGTGTGTGAAGCTGAGACAGAAGCTGAAAGTGTGAGACCCTCAAAAAGTTGGGGAGGCGAGGAATGTGGAGTAACTGAGGGAAAAGCTGCAGGCCGTAGGCAAAGGCAACCAAAGCGAGAAGCCTTGAGGATTACGCCCCTGCAGTGCTCTGGGGCCATTTGGGCCATTGGGAGTTCACGTCTCACTGTGACTTGCCTGGGTAGTAGACATGGTGCTACTACGTGATTCAGTGTTTGCTCTGCCGGCTTTTGATTTTGCTTTGGTTTGTTTTCCTATCCCCTATTCCTTCCATTTGGAATAGGAATCTTTGCCCTGTGCTGTTGTATAGTGGCAGTGTTTTAACTTGCATTTTGATTTCTACCAGGGCTCACAGCTAAACGCTTGCTTCACATCTCAGAGGAGATTTTGAGTTTGGCCTTTCCAGCAATGCTTTTAGGACTTTGGCAACTGTGAGAGATGGACTAAATGCATTCTGCATAAGGAGGTGTGCACTGGGGCCAGGAGTGGAGTGTTTGGTGTATATCTAATGTCGCCCAAAGCTTCAGGCATTTGTACTGGCAGGTGGAGCTTTTGAAAGGTGATTGAATTATGGAGGCCCCGTAGTTAAAAATGACGTAAGGAGATGGGGCCTAGGGTCAGAAGGGGCCAGAAGACGCAGGTCACCAGAGGCATCCCTGGGAGGATATAGTTTTCTCTCATTTCCTCCCTTTGCCCTCAGCTTCCTGGATGCTGTGACACCAGCAGCTTTGCCCTCCCGTCCCAGATGCCTTTGCCAGCTGCTGATCATGCAAAGTGCAGCTTCTCACAGGCAAGCCAGACCTTTCCTCTTTTAAGTTGTGGGTGTTGGGTATTGTGTCTCAGTGACAGGAAAAGTGACAAAGACAGGAGAAACATCTAGATGCTTATGTTAAGGTAAATAATGTTACTTCCTAAGTGCAAATTATTTTCTAAGTGCACATTATTTCAAATTACACATGAGATACGGCGCTGGACGGACCACCATCTGGCTAGAGGTGCCGGAGAGTAGACGCAGTGCTGCGTTTGGTGCAGATGCCCTTCAAGCCTGATGGGAAAACACACAAACACAGACTTTCTTCTGTGTAGGCTCTTCCAGGAGATGCTGTGTTCTTCAGTCTTTCAGGCAGTGTCATCTTTCTCACACCTCTCGGTCCAGTCTGTTTCCATGTTATGAATGTTTCTGAAAGCCATTCTACAGCATCTTCCCTGTGCGAGTGAGCTGTGGCTGAGCTCAGGGCGCCCCCTGCCAGGGTTCTTGTGGGTAATTCCCTGTGCCCTGGAGGTGTCCTCCTTCCAGACAGGTTCTTATTCTTGGTAAATGATTGTAGCAAGTGTTTGTGCAGCTATCTGTGGTGATCTGCACTTGATATTTACTGAGTAAATCTCCTTGCCTCGGGCCTGTGTTCCTCCCGGGCCTGCCTGGCAGGCAGCATCCATCTACTCCCTCTTGGGTAATCAGATGCTGTAAATCCAGAGTACACGTGTTCAGTACTAGCAAAGCACACTGGTGAATGATCCGCTCCCTGCTTGAAGGAGTTTCTAAATTAGTAGTCATGCTGTGAATGCATGTTTTAATACTCACAGGAATAAAAGCATGGCTCATTGGATGAAAATGAATATAACTCTTCCTTTTCTCTTTGCCTTGAAAAATACCTTTTTTTTTTTTTTGGGGGAACTGGGGATTGAACTCAGACCCTTGCACTTGCCAGGGAAGCACTTACTCTACTGAGCCATCTCCCAGGCCCAAAATATGCATTCTTGATTGGTGAATTAGGGTCTATTTTTTAAAAGGTTCAGGTCTTAGAACAGCAGATTCTTGAATAAAATTAAAAGATTCTCAATAGCAGTGTTAATCAGAAGGCATATTAAAAGAAAATCCTATACCCATCAGGTTGGCCAGCATGTAAAAGATCCAACCATACCCTGTAAAGGTGAACTCCCATGTGTGGATACTGGAACTTGTATTAGTTAATATTGCTCAGGGGAGAGAAGCTGGCTAAGCAGACCTGCTTTCGCAGAAGATTCATAGTCCCAGTAATTGGTACATCTTCATGGCTCTTGTGAAAAAGGAGCTCTAGGTGAGAGAAGTCACCACAGCCTCTTTTGCAAGAGAGAAAACAGCAATAAATATTTAGTGATAGGAAAACAAATAAATTGGTTATACAGCGAGACATTGCTTGGTCTGAAGTGAGAAAATCCAGGAACACTTGTCAACTTAGATTAATCTCAAAATGAACACTGAAGAAAGGTCATTACAGAATGAATTATGCAATAGAGCACCTTCCTTTTGAAGTTAACTACATGTAGTACATGAATCCATATATGTAAAAATATGAAGTATACGTTGATACGATGAACATTCGATTTGGGAGAGGAGTTTTCTGATGGGGGTCGGTGGAAGCTTCAAGGGTGTCTGTTGTCCCTACTAATGGTGTAAGCAGAGCACAGACCGCAATCCTGATAGCCAGTGTTGGCTGGGTGTGCCATGTTCTGAGGGTTTCAGCGTGTGTTAATTCATGTGAGCCTCCAACAGCAGTGGGAGGAGAGTTGGAGAGTTCACTGTTCAGATGAAAACGGAGAGGGGGCAGTGAGTGACTACAGGCACGGCACATTGGTGGGCAGTAGCAGAGCGGTGTTTTGCCTGGACATGCGCTGCGGAGCTTCTGAGCCCCTGCTGCTGCTCACTGACTTGGCTGGAGCCAGACAGTGGGCAGACATATTTGTCGAGTTACTTTCTTCACTTTTCTATATCCTTGAAATGCGTATATGACTACAACAGACAGAGCATGTCCATATTTAGAGCCAAGGGGAATTTGCTTGTGGTTTTATAAAAAAATTTACTGTCTAGCTGCAGGCAGTCAGGTAAGAATCCATATAAGAAACGGTAACTTAGGCTTTTTTTTTTCTTTTTTAAACATACCTCCTTCAACATTAAACTTCATATAGTAGTTGTCAGACAAATCTTTGTTTCCATTTTCATGGTATGGTTAAGCGGAAAGAGTAGTTGCAGAGGAAATGGAAGGGATTAAGGAAGTAATAGGAACTGGAAAGGGAAAAAATGGGGAAGACAGACACAGAGAAAGGATTGAAGAGGTTAACAGGCAGAATGGATTCCAGCTGGTGAATGTAATTTGTCTTAATCTGTGAAATGGTCTACAAGGTAAGTTATTGCCTTTTTTTTTTTTTTTTTTGAGAAAAGCTAATAGCTGCTCTCATCTATTTCAATCTCATGGCACAGTGTCGTTACTAGAGAAAGTAAGGCTTAGAAAAGGCAAAAGCTTTGCACCAGGCCACGCATGGAAAAGGACAGTCTGGGGTCTAGCCACAGACATGGGGTTTAAGCTACTTTTACTGCCTGGCTGCAAACCACACTTGCATTTCACTTTGGATAGTAAAGCAACCCTTTGCGGCCAAATTATTCGTCACATTTGAAGCCATGCCACTCGGGAGCAGAGGATGAGATCGCAGATTTATGATGATGGGCTGAGTTCAAAAGGCATAACCTAGAGATTTATCATTTTCTTAAGGAAGAAAAAAAGGAAGCTATTAGTGACTTCACTTGTTGTTGTTTCATTTTTCTAGACACCACAGATTGCAGCAGAGAATATTGGTAGTGAATTACCAACCAGCACCCCTCGATTTAGGCTGGATATGCTGAAAAACAAAGCAAAGAGGTCTTTAACAGAGTCTCTAGAAAGTATTTTGTCGCGGGTAAGTAGCATAATTTGTTCTGATTTAAATTAACTGATGCTGGGGCTGGCGAGATGGCTCAGTGGTCTAAAGCACCTACTGGGAACAAGCTTGGGAAAGCACAGGGACCGTGGTTCGATCACCCAGCACCACATGCCAGCCAGCCGCGCCCCCTGGTGGGCTGAGCTGGCCACACACACACACACACACATAAATAAATGTTTAAAATTAATTTAAAAAATAAATAAATTTTATAAATTAACTGATGCTTGTGTGTTTACCTGTCTTCAGCCTGGGTCTTGCTCTGTGTAATTTAGGCTGGCTTTGCACAGGCTGCCTTGGAACTTGCCACGTTCCTCTTGCCTCACCCTCTCAGATGCCAGGATCATAGGCCTGCACCACCATAGCCGGCTCAAAATCAGTGTTTAAGTGAGCAGAAGAGTCATTTCTGTGCTCTGTGTCAATGTTCATCATAAATTATAAAACATTTTGATGTTATCTACTTTTTAAATTATTAAATTGGTCTGAGTTTTTAAATAAATTATTTAACTATTATATTTTGATTGCTTTGTCTCCCAAAATATTATTTCTTGGCGAGTCCCTGTAAAGAGCATAGATACATCAAGGTGTTAGGTTCTGGTCTTGCTGGTATTGCTTACAAAAAGTTACTATCAGCTGCTCTCCAGGTGTCTTGAACTCTGTATGAGGGGTTTACTTATTTGACCCCTGAACCAAATCCTACCCACCTCCTGATTTTCTGTTTTTGTAAATAGTTTTATTGAATTACAGCCATAGCCACTCATTTACCCCTTATCTGAGGCTGCTTCTGTGTGGAAATAACTGTCATAGACAAGTGCAAGAGGTATTTGCTACATGGCCCTTTATAGAAAAGATTGTCAACTTCAGCTTTGTAGGAAGAACAAAGAACACACATACATCAATCTAGGAGTTACTCTTGTAATTTTTTTAAAATAATTAATTAATTAATTAATTTGCTATAGGGTCTCACTTTTCAGCTCAGATGCATAGTAATCCTTGTGTCTCAGTCTCCCCAGTGCTGGGATTACAGGCGTGCACTGCCATGCCCAGTTTTGTTGGCTGGCATGGTGTGCCCAGGGCATGGCATACAGTACTGGAGATCGAACCCAGGTTCTTGCGCTTGCCAGGCAAGCACTTACACTGCCAAGCTATCTCCTTAGCCCCTAGGAGTTGTTTATGAAGTCACCTCCTTCAGTACCATAGGCATAAATAAGCCTTGATGGCACTTCTAAGAAATCAGAGTCTGATTTTTTTTTAATTGACATTTCATACCTTTCTGGAGCTTGCAATGTGTAATAATGATATAGTTCATTGTGATTTTATGATAACTTCATTGAAACAAATGTTTTAGTTATAAAAAGTTAAGGTTTATTTTGTTTGAGGATATTTCTGAGAACTCTGCCTCATCTTCTGAGATGATAAAAAATTGTCCATTCACAAAACCAGGGTGAGAGGAGCTATGTTTGAGAGCTCCCAAGGCGATAGGAGATGGGTTGAGTGGCACACAACTGGCTTGTCCTGACAGCTTGTGTCCTGGGGAGAGAGCTGTTGAGTGGGCTTACTTGAACACCTGCTTTTCTTTGTAGACATTGTCTTTGTCCTGCCTGCCATCAATGCCAGATGACTGACCCAATAGGTGTTCTAGAACATTTAGGGTGGGGAGGTATTTAAGAAAAAAGTAACAGAAATACTGATTGTTCTCATTGTGTATCTATGCTTAGTAGCGTTTTTCCTGAGCTCATTTAAATAGAGCAAATGTAACATCTTTGATCTGATGGCTTTGTAAAGGTCTCTGGGGTCATAATTCATCTGCCTTTTCTTCATGTAGGGTAATAAAGCCAGAGGCCTGCAGGATCACTCCACCAGCGTGGATCTGGACAGCTCTGTGTCTAGTACACTAAGTAGCACCAGCAAAGTAAGCAGCCTTCTCTCTATGACACTCTGAAGAAGCCAGTCAACAGGTCTTGCTCATCTTCTGTCTATAGGGTCATCAGAAAAAGCAGAAAAAGCATCAGATCCCTGGTCATAAAAGATGTGGTGCTTCCAGACTTCTTGGCTCAGGTGGAGGGCTGGTCATGTAACCACCATAACATGGAAGTATTACATAAAAAGTAGATGGTTGTTACATCAGCAGAGAAACAAGATATAATTTTAGACAGTTAACATCTAATTTGTCATAATGTAACCAAGGGATTTCTTTCCCAGGTAAACTTTCTGATAATAAAAGTAATTATAATTGGGAGATAGTTTGTCAATGCAGAGAAGTATACAACTTCAGTTTCTAAAACTATCCTCAAGGCAGGTAGCCTCATCCCTGTAGGCTGCCATCATGGTGGTGGGAGTGTGGAAGCCAACCATTGTCCATGTAACCTGGGCCTGTGTCCTTGCTCTAACATTTTGCTTCCTAGAGTCTTAAAGTAGGTAAATCTGGGTGGCTTAACTGCATCAGTGCCAAGGAGTAGGATTGGATTTTTGTGCTGGGGAAGCTTTGCTTTCTGCAGTAGAAGCCTTCTTTGTTGAAAAATGAAGAATTTTTTGGAGGCCAGCTCCTTCTCACAGGAATGGTTCAAACTCTTCTGAGATCTGTCATATTTGTGTCGCTCTCAGTGTTTTATATCATAACCAACAATAAAAAACACATTGGACATTGTGACATTGTTCACAAATGCTTGAAGCTACACAGACACAGAAAATGAAAAGCTCACAAACTAATAATTAATTTGAACAGTATGTGATACATACTGGTATTTCCTTTTGTAATTTGTCTAAAAAAATGCCAGCTACTACGTTGTTATTACTGTCTTCTGGCATGTTCTATTGCACAGTTCACGAAATGCTTCCTTAAGGTGCACCTAGAGGAGGGTTCTGATTAACACACAGACTCAGATTCAGTCAGCCTGGAGCAAACCCTGAAATGCTAAGTTTCTGGCAGGCTCCAAGGCAGTGCTGCTGCTGCTGCTGGGCTACAGATGTCAGTCCACTTGGGGAATGAGGCCTCCAACCTCATACACCTTCTGGAACTGATCAGGAGGCATCTAGCTGCAATTTAATACATGCTGATTCTGCCCTGAAGTTCACATCTTATGTGGAAATGTTAGTTTATCTGTTGTATACAGATGAGTAGGTCCCAGCCCCTTCCCTGTAGGGACTTAGCTGGGACAGAGATGGTAAACACAAGCACCCCAGAGTCAGGTAGGGTGGGATAGGAGCCCTGAGAGGGTCCCAGGAGAGACACTGGGAACTTAGATTCCAGAGGTGTGGAGGGAAGAGGAGTTATATTTGGGACCAGAGAAAGCTTGGGGGAAAGGAGAGAGCAGTGGTTTTTTCCAACTAAATCTTGAAGAAAGTATAAATATTCATCTGTGGCAGTGAGCAGGGAAGAGGGGATTTCAGGTGGTTTAGTGTCAGTGGAGACACTAGGTAGCAGCTTGGCTAGTCACACTGCTCACTGTTTGTTCTCCAAAATGCAGAGAGCCAGGACCCATGCCTTGCTTCAGTTTCTAGGTGATTTTCAGAGAGAAATATGCCTTTTCTGAAGGGACCTCCATGAGTCTCCTCAGTGTACTTTTCTGCACCTTTCATTTCTTTATATTAAACAGAAATTGCCACAAACATGAATTTTATGTATTTGGGTCTCTTCTAATAAATTGAAAACATGTAGGAGTTGCAAAGAAGTTGAAGATGCGAAGGGCTCTCTCAGTCATCAAATTAAGCTCAGGGTCAGTAATCTGGAAGGTTAGTAATAAGAATTTAGAAGAACAGAGAACGCGAGAGTGATATTCTCTCTCTCTCTCTCTCTCTCTCTCTCTCTCTCTCTCTCTCTCTCTAAGAGATTGTTTTCTGTAGTATATTGTTTTAACCCCTAAATTAAAAGAATCTTCAAAACTAAAGTTTTTAAGATCAAAAATTATAGTTATGAAAATAATTAACTGGGGATATAGCTCTGTCACACAAGCACCTATCCAAGCCCAAACTCCTGTGTCTGATTCCCCCCCAAAATATTTTATGTTGTGCTGGGAATTAAGTATTTTCTAAATAATTCCCACAGAAGTACAAATATATACCCATTCCATTCACTATAAAAATTTAAGTTTTGAGGTTAAAATCTTGAACACCTATCATCCCAGACACCTCCACCTTTGTACTGAATGAACAGATAGAATTTGGGTTCTCCAGTTCACTGTGAGATAAGCTCATTCCTTTTTACTGTATTCATGTTGATGTTCCTGTCCCTTCTCACAGGTTCAGTAGGAGCAAGCTGGTACATTTCCTCTCGTTTCATTTTTTATTTTGAAAAAAATGGCCTCTATTTGCCAGATGCAGTGCTAAGCATTGTTTTGCATGAGTGGCAGTAGTTCATTCTTTAGAAACGCATTCATCTTAAAAGCATGCAGTATTAAAATATTGTTGTGATTCTCAATGTTTGAGCACTCAGTAATAAATGAGTCCCTAGTGAAACAGTATTTCTGTGACCTTTATACATCCAGAGTACCTGAAGCTGTATATTCTTGCTTACTTTCTGAAAAAGTAAGGTAGAATTTTGCTATCTTACAGATGAAGAAAGTGAGCTGCAGAAAGAAGTACAATGGTTTCCTCAGAATTGTGACAAAAAGTGCCTAGAGAGATTTTCTGTACTCGGAGGATGAGACATGGTTTTTCACCTCGAGATGACAGAGTTAAGTCTCAACAACAGGTCAGGATCAGAGAGAGCCTGCAGTGTGGGTAGCATATGCAGGTGCACTTGGCAGAGAGAAAGAACTTGGTTCAGTGGTGGAGACCAGTTGTCCCGCACACATTAGAGTCTACAGGCAGCAGTGAGGAGCCGTGTACTATGGAGAGAGGAGCTGTTCATGCTGCAGCTTCAGACAGTTACTTATTGTGGTTGTTCCTTTTGTCCTTGCACAGGGGCGGTTGCCCTGTTTCTGCAGCACACAGGTACGTTGTCTCCAACAAGCAGGAATTTTATGGGTCTGTCTGTCTTAGAATTTTTTTTTTTTCTTCTTGGTGGTACTAGGGATTGAACTCAGGACGTTGCACTTGCCAGGCAAGCACTTATTCCACTGAGCTATCTCCCCAGCCCCCTCTGTTTATAAATTGGTGGTCCCTAGATGGCCTTTTGATCACACATGTCTGTGTATTGAAATATTTTCTGCACCGGACTAAGAGACATCCCACATTGGCCTCATGGTGTGTCTGACCTGCTGTCTCCTGCCAGGAGCCATCCACCGGGGACAGAGAGGCCCTCCCCATCTCTGAGAGCTCCTTCAAGCTCCTCGGCTCCTCAGATGACCTGTCCAATGACTCGGAGAGCCACACCCTGGAGGAGCCTGCCCCGCTGTCCCCGCAGCAGGCCTTCCGGAGGCGAGCCAACACCCTGAGCCACGTCCCTGTGCAGTGCCTGGTGCCTCCGGAGCCAGCCCAGGGGACTCCGGGAGCCAGCCAGAGGAAGCTCATGAGGTATCACTCGGTGAGCACGGAGACGCCTCACGAACGCAAGTAAGATGTGTTTAAAATGTAAAACTTGACCTGCAGATAGCTGGGGCATGTGTGTGACTAGCCAGCTATGCGTGTCTTCAGTGTGCTTACCGGGTGGGGGAGAATCCCGAGTCGGATTTTACTCTTGGTGTGAAGAGGTACGGCTTGGAGCCGTGGTGCACCTCCCTGCGCTCCCAGGAAGCCTGGTGGCGGGGCAGGGCTGCCTGCTTCGTGCGCAGGGGCAGTGAGCAGAAGTGGAGCCCAGGGGACAGGCAGCACAACTGCTGGCCTCCAGGAAGCCGGCAGGCGGGTGAGCATCTGCGTCTCTCCAGGGACCTGGAACTGGGCCGCCATGTGACAGCGTCACGGAGTCCACATGGGACTCCGGCAGCATGGGAGAGGTGGCGTGAACACTCGTATGGACTCAGAGTAGTGGTCCTGCACTTCTGTCTTGAGCCGCCTGTGACTGGGGCAAGACTGAGTCACAGACTTGGAACCTACATTTTCTGAATTTTCTATCAATAATCTAGATTTTTCTAACAAGATGTACAGGTTTTAGTGGTTAGTTCAAATGAACAATTAGATGAATGCTATGGCAGCAGAAGTTCTCCTGGTCCTTCCAGGTCCCTTGGTGAATATTTTTCTCTTCATGATTAACCCTGCGTGCCAGAAACTATAAATATAAATAGCATAGAATTACCTTGTGTGTTTGTGGGGCCCGCTAGAGATTGAACCCACTGTGCTACATCCCCAGGTCTTTTTTTTTTCTTTTTTCTTTTTTAATTCTAACATTTTTAAAGTTTTGGAACAGTCTCATTGAGTTGCTCAGGCTGGCCCCAGACTTGTGATCCTTCTGCCTTAGCCTCCCAAAGAGCTGGGATTACAGGTGTGCGCCACCACACCTGGCAGAATTATCTTTTAAAATAATTTTTAAACTTTTCTAAAATCCCTTCACCTGGGCTGGTGAGATGGCTCAGTGGTCTAAAGCACCTACTTAGAACAAGCTTAGCAAAGCACAGGGACCACGGTTCAATCCCCCAGCACCATATGCCAGCCAGCTCCGCCCCCTGGTGGGCTGAGCTGGCCAAAAAATAAAAAATAAATTAATAAAAAAAAAATCCCTTCATCTTGTAACCACCCCCGTGTACTGTTCCTGCCTCCCACTTTGTGGTGGCACCAGCAGCCCAGAGGCATGTTGGGGAGGCCACACCGGCTGATGGATGGGCTGTGCAGGGCTATCTGAGCTGTGTCCAGAGAGGTGGAGACAGATGCTAATGCACCTGGCACGGTGAATGGCCGCCTGCTTTGCTTTCAGTCATCCATGGAAATCAATATTGGGCTTTTAAATTCAGTGGGGTAACTGTGATCACGGAGACTGAATGTTCTCGGCAGCTGTTTACTAGGTGTGCGTTCCCGTGGCTCCTGGCTGCGGCCATGTGAGTCTCGCTGCGTGTGCTGCCGCCTTGCGCACACCATGTCCATGCTGCCGCCCGCGTGTCCTCTCTCCTTACCTGTGGTATCTGTGGTGAGAATGAACCATCCTACCTGGAGGGGCCTGCAGATGCACATAGGACCTGCGTGGTGCGCTTTCCTGCTGTCCTCTCCCCCCTCAGGAGGTAGCTTAGCTGGTGAGGAAAGGGCTAGGGACACATCTGGCTGCCCATGTCTGTGGAACAGCCCATTTTTCTGTCTCTACCTCTGTGAACTGTCTTCTGCTTTAGCTACAGGAAATACTGTAGGACGTTGAAATGCAAGGCAGCGTATTGTTCCTTTTAAAGGGATTTTTTGTTGTTGTTGCAATTTTGGATTTTTTTCTTTTGTCTTTCTTTTAATTTTAAAAGCTTTTCAGGTCAGTTCCCAGAAAGGAAGTACAGGAAAAAGAGTTACTAGGAGCACAGCGAGTGGGAAATGACAGGCTGGGAATGGCCTCTGACTTCCTTGGTTTCCTGGAAAGTGCCCCACCAGTGGTGACAGCGATGGGGTGGGGGGAAACTGTCCTCTCTACTCTGTGACAGCTCCTTCCAGCTTGCTCCACGCTAACCCCGTACTTTCTCTACTTGCCCTTTAGCGTGGACCATGCATCTGTGGGCCAGTCTAAGCGCTGCTCAGGGCAGACTTCCGATTCTTCTCCTCCTCGTCTTAACCCCTCTGCCTCCTCGCCAAACTTTTTTAAGTATCTAAAACATAATTCCAGTGGAGAACAAAGCGGGAATGCTATGCCGAAGAGGTGAGCACACTTGCGTGGCCAGTTCAGGTGGTTGCCTTCTTGGGGGCTCACACTACCTGCGCATGCGCTGTGCTGCACCATGCCACGGGGCTGAGCCACAAAGCCGAGCCACGAGGCCAGCCACATTGCTGTGTGTGCTTGTTTGCGCTCACCACCTCCCACTGACACCTGAGCTGACTTCATTTACTGTTAATTTTCATACAAGTGTGGACACAGTCTTGGTGGCAGGCTTTCCCAGATCCTGTACCACTGTACACACCATGCACCCACTACACTTGAGCATGTGCCCTCTGTTTGTGCCCTGTCGGAAGCTTTTGGATTAATTTAGGAATTTTTTTTTTTTTCAGTTTGAAAGAAAGTCCTTTTAAGATTCACTGATTTTTTTTTTTTTTAATCACTGCTCTCATGCACTAAAAAGGAAATTTCATTGCCTTAAAATAGAAGTTGAATCTCATTTGTAAATTATTTCTTACCAGGTTGACTGCTTTTAGCATTAGCACAAAAATTTTTTCTTTCAACTTTGAAGTTTATATTTTATACTTTGTATGTTTATATTTCTTTATCCTAAAACTCTTTTCTTAACCAAACTCTCAGCATCTCGTACCGTAATGCCCTGCGGAAAAAACTTCATTCTTCTTCCTCTGTGCCAAATTTTCTAAAATTTCTGGCTCCTGTAGATGAGAATAACACCTCTGACTTTATGAACACAAAAAGGTAGGGCTTACTTTAGATATCTCAAACCTGGATGTTATAAACATTGAAACATTGCTAAATATGTGGGGGTATTTTCAGTGTTCTTTGCTGTTTAAAAATTACATTGACTGAATTTGTTGTATGTCTTGGCTTACTCTTTTTCCTTACAGAAAGTTATTATTATTATTAAAGTTTTTTTTACTTTTTGGTACTGGGAATCAAACTCAGGACCTTGCACTTGCTATGCAGGCACTTAATGCTGCTGAGCTATTGCTGCAGCCCTTGGATGATAGTTTTTGAAACATGCCATTAACCTGTTCTCCAGGTTGATCCGGCAGGCTTATTAATTCTGTCATCTCGGACATTAAAGCCTCCTAAAGAGCTCCTAAAGTGCGTGAAGTAGCGCTGTGACAGCAGCGTGCTGGCCAGCGAGTGGCGCCCTCCTCTGAGGAGGAAGGCGTCTGTCGCGTAGGTGGGGGCTGCTGTTGCCTTTGGTGCACAGCTGAGCATGGACTCCAGCGGCCCCCCACGTCCAGGGAAACAAGCAGTTAGTTTGTATTTTTGTATGTATCGACAACTATGCTTTATTTTGTAATTCTTAAAATGCCAATGCTAAGGTAGTTGTTATTAGCAAGTATAACTGCGTAATTATTGCATTAATGGTTCTGCGTAATTAAACCACAATTTGTGTTTTTCATTTTCTGTGGCAGTCACAGAAATGTAGGCTTGTTTCCTGGAGGAAATATTCCCATGTGTGGCTAGAGCAGTTTCTTATTTCTGAAGTGGCACTGAGAGAGGCCTGATTGGAAGCTATGCTCTGTGGAACATTTTTAAATACTTTCGCGGTAGAAATCAACTAGCAGTGTGCAGTTCTGCTCCTCTTGTGGAAAGTGTGTTGTAAGAACATAGTTCTTTAAGAGTATTGACCCACTGTGAGCTTGATGTAACTTCTCTGATTATTAAATTGGGTTTGCTCATACAAAATTAATTCATAATTTAGGGCTTTGTATATAAAGAAAAACTTAAGCCAACCCCTACCCTCCAGAAACCCTTCAATACCTCCCTACCAGTAATATATCAATTACTTTGCAATTTTAGGGATTTTGAGTCCAAAGCAAACCACCTGGGAGATGTGGGTGAGACCCCTGTGAAGACCCGGCGGCACTCATGGCGGCAGCAGATCTTCCTGCGAGTGGCCACGCCGCAGAAGGCGAGTGACTCTCCTGGCAGATATGAAGGTAAGGGCATCGCTGAAAGGAAACCCAAAGAAGAGTTTTTGGTACTGGGAATCAAACTCTGGTGTACCCAGGGTGGCTGTGCGGAGCCTCCTAGTGGTAGGAGGGTGGTGAAATCAGGAAAGGACTCTAGAATAAACATTTGAGGCAGCCTCTGAGATCAGCAGGAGAGCTGCCTAACGGCAGAGTTGTCAAAGCCAGGGCTCTGGAGCCTGCTTTCAGATCTCAGCCTTCTGCCCCAGGAGCTGTGTGCTGGGACAAGCCATCTAGTTTCTCACCTGCTGTCTAGGATTTCCTTATGCCTTTTGCTGCCCTGATGTCATGATGTCATTACTGACACATTCTTCAGAAGTATTCACAAATCACAATACTGGGAAGAAAACCACTGAATAGTCACGGCACAGTCACTCAAGTGATGTGAATTCCTCTGGGTTTGGCCTACTGCTTCTCTTGCATCGGTCCCTCCACAGGGGCACTGTGGAGCCATCTCTGCCAGCCCCATCCTCCAAATGGCCCCTACCCGCTGCGGAGAAGCAGCATCCTTCCTTAGGGACTGTGGAGGAGTTGAGCTGTGAGGTAGTATGAAGCAGCAGAACTTCAAGAACCCCTGCGCGTGTCAGCCTCAGTGTGTGAGAACAGTGCCCTGGAGCGTAGTGGCCAGTCCTCACTAGCAGGGGTGTGGAGCCTGGAATGTGATGGTTTCAACATGCTCAGTGTTATGTCTGGGACATGGTAAGGGCTGTTCCATCTTAGAACAGCTCTCAGTTTACAAAAACGCCCCCTTAGATTGCACCAAACCCTGCTCTCATTTCAGCCTGGTTCTCTTCTGGCCTCTGAAGCCCTGCAGTTTCAATTTGTACTCCCCTCCGGCTCTTTGGGGGATGAGGATTGCAGAAACCACTGTGCTCTTGTATTTCTTCTCCAGGTTAATTGCCCTTGTGACTGCAGGGTACCCTCTGGCCAAAGTGTTGTCCCCTTGAGGAACCTGAACTAAGCGTGGTGCCCCCAGGCTTCTGGCCCACACAGAATGTTGTTCCTGCCCCTGAGCTTTCACTATTCTGTTTCTGTAGATTGGAGTTCATTAATCTTTTTTTGTTTTAAATAATTCTTGCCTCCTGTATCCTGACCTTGATTATGAACTGCTACTGGAAGATTGAATTGATTGCTTGCTGTGTGGAAGAGCTTTTGGCCAGCTTGCCTTCCTCATGTACTTTGGGCTGTGACCTGGTCGGGAGTGTCAGCCAGTCCCTGGGGGTTGTTCTGCGCCATACTTGGTGGAGTTATGTGCAGAGCTGAAGAGCGTGGCCCTTGAACTGTAATGGATGGGGTACTGAAGAGCAGGGCCTAGGGCCGGCCAGATAGCTCAGCGGACTAAAGCACCTGCTTAGGCAGAGCACAGCGGCCGGGCTTCGACTCCCTGTTGTGCCACGCGGGCCCCACCCCTGGGGTGGGCTGAGATGGTGATTGAGACGGCATGGTGTCACGCACCTGTAATCTCAGTGCTTGAGAGCCTGAAAACAGGAGGATCGCTACGAGTCCAGTCTATGTAGTAAGACTCTATAGACTCTATAGACCTGTCCTACATACATTTAAAAAAAAAGGAAAGCCGGGCCTGCCCTAGGCGCTGCTTCTCCTGTTCCTAAGTGGAATCACCTTGAATTCCTCAGACCCCAAAAGTTAAGTTGCTATCTTCTGCAGAAGAATGTTCTTGGAGACCCGTCAGGCGCTCCGTGAAGGTTGCTGTTTGAGCCCATTTTTTCTCTGGCCAAAGCTCCTGCAGATGTTGCTCACTCATTCTCTGCAGGGGTTCACAGGCACTGTGTGGGATCCGGCTGTGTTCCCTGGCTGCCCACCCCCAGTGTTACTTAAAAACACCTTTCCCAGAAGGCTCTGCTGACCAGTTTTCTGTGACCTCCGTGCTACCAGGAGATACTCCAGATCTCCTTACCCTGATGTTCCCCTGCACTCAGCTCCCGTGGCACCACTCATATTTATTCATTTTCCTTGCCATTGCTCTCCAGGTTGCTTAGGCATTGAGGCCTTTATAGTTGCTCAGGTTGTCGCAGACAGCGTGCGCTCCCGTTGATTTCCCCCTCCCTCCTGTGTCTCCTGTTTCTCTGTAGGCCCATATCCTTTCTGTCCTCTTAGAAACAAGGAACGTTGTAGAGTTTCTGGGTAATGTTGTAGGTGTTCCAGGCATGCAAGAGGAAGAGAGACTGAAGAATCTGAGACTGGGTTAGTGTAGTAGTTGTATTGTACCCTTTTTGCTGTACTAAGAGCTTTACGTGAATTAATTTCCTTTCACACCTAGTCTCTTCTGAGAGTAAACTTTGCACTTATGCCCATTTTATAAGTGGGGGAGGGGAGGCTAGGAATGGCTTTAGTCACTTTACCTGAACCATGAACTCCCGGGAGCCAGAGGCAGGAGCTGGACTCATGGGGCCCTGCCCCAAGAGTCCAGCTCTGAACCTACAGGCCCTGCACTGCTCCAGAGATGCCCAATGGGAGCCACTGGTGTGGCCCTCATGGTTTCTTGTTGATTGAGCAGCCCTTACCGGAAGTTCTCTGTAGGCTTCCGCCTGGGCAGGGGCTGGAGTTTATGTACATCTCTGTCAGCCAAGCATGACTACCAAATGGAAAGCGTGCTTCTGCTGTGCATCGAGGTGCAGGAGCTCGGCTGCGGGCCAGCACTCCTCCCTCTGCCGCCTTAGCCCTGGAGCTGGAGTGTGGAAGGGAGGGAGCTGGGCTTCTGCCTGTGACTTCCTTTCCCACAGTCTAGGTCCTCTGCGGCTCTCCCTCCCCATCTGCAGGTGCGTGCGTTGGCCTTCATGGCAGATCTCCATGTCTCCCTGTGCAGGTCTTCCAGATCCAGAGACAGCTAAAGAGCCCTGATACTTCAGGGCAGTCCCCAGCGGAGGTGCCGTTTCTGCCTGCGCAGGCTGATCTGTAGCCGCTGAGGTAGCTAGGCTGGCCCAGCTTCCATTCTGACGTGAGGTGACGCTTATTAGTGTGCTGGAGAGAGATGCACTTAACACTGTGCCTCAAGCCAGGCATGGCAGTGCAGACCTGGGATCCCAGCACTCAGGAGGCGGAGGCAGGAGGATTGCTTCCAGTTCTAAGCCAGCCTGGGCTCTGCAGTGAGTTCAAGGCTGGCTTCAACTATGTGGTGAGACCCAGGATCAAAAAAACCAAACAACCACAAAAATCCAGCCCCTTGGAAAACCATTTCAGATACTCAGAGTGACTGTTTTGTATTAGTATTCAGAGAGTGTCAACTTCAGATGAACAGATAGGAAATCTTACCTTTTTTGAAGATAAAAAAAATAAGATGGGACATTGGTACTGTCCCATCCATTTTGTCTCACTTGGAAAAACTTGTAAAACAAGCTATGATTAAAACCTACAATGTTTACCTAGTAATGATGGTACTGCTGAAGGAGAAATGAGACTTTCTGTGACTTAAGAGTTCTCATTTTTGTGTATGAAGTAAAACCTGGAGAGCGTGTGTTAGTGATTAGGAACACAGCTCCAACTAAAATATAAAAAAGAGAAGAAACTGTAAACTCACAGTCAGCATGGATAGAAGTGGAGATTAGATTGGGGAAATATTGCTCACCAAATCAGCCTGTCCTTTTCTCAGGGATGTGTGGCTGTGTCCGTGTACACGCTCCCTGGGAGGTACTTAAGTTGTAAGAATAATCTGCATTTTATGTCTTAGAAACCTAAGTTTCTAACTCCCTGGCAGGGCATAAAGTTAATTCATAGTTGAACATTTATATTTCTGTGTTTAGTAGGGCAAACGGTCCCAATTCCATTCTTCTGTTTGTGTACGTGTGTATCATGTATGTGTGTATGTATGTATGCATTTTACAATGCGAGGAGTCAAGCCAGGAGCCACACACAGGCTGAGCAAGCTCTCTTCTACACCCTCAACCCTCTTTCCTTTTTATGTCCATGTCAATGTTGACCAGTGGGTCTTTTGTAAGAATTCTTGTAAGCAGGGTCTGAGAGAGCTGGCTGCAATCTGAGCCTGGAAGAGTGAGTGTCCGCGTCTTGAACTGTGGATCAGGGCACAGCAAGTGCTGTGTGGAAGGGAAATTCAGTGATAAAGAGAAGTGGTCCCCAGCTTTTTGGCACCAGGGACTGCTTTTGTGGAAGACAATGGCAGGAAGAGGAAGATGTTTCCTGGATTAGATTCTCGTCAGAACACACAACCTAGATAGCTCACACACAGCATTCACAGTAGAGTTCCCTCTTAGGAGACCCCAGTGCAGCCGCTGATATGCCCAGAGGGGGCACTCAGGTGGTAATGCCAGCGACAGGCAGCAGGGAGGGTCTCTACACACAGGAGGCTTCCCTGGCTCCGCTGCACTCACCTCCCGTGCTGCTTGTGCACCCATGAGTGGGGGACCCCTAATAAATAGGACACCACCAACTTTTAATTGAAGACATGGCAAGGCAAATGTTTTGTCATAAAGCAAGCACACATCATGAAATAGGCTGCTGAAAGCTGCGCAGAAAATGGCATGTGAAGCAGTGGACTTTACAGTGCTGTTACTTGGTGGTGGTCGCTTCTGGCTGCTGCCCCAGAAGTTGCAGGGAAGTGTGTGCTGTCCTCTGTGTGCTGTGCATTTTGCATGAAAGGCTTCTGTGACGCCGAGCATTGGGAAGAACCGTACTTGGTAAACTGTTAATCCACAGAAGGTGCTCTCTGGAGAGAGCTAGGAAACCCCAGCAAAGGTGCTAAGGGTTGGGGCTGCTTCAGGCTGTGTTGTGGGGTGCAGCTCAGGGCAGTTGCACTTGGTGTGGCCCTCGTAGGACAGTGGCTCTTAGGGCTCTGCAGCTCCCCACTCGCTTTCAGGTCTTCACTGTTGAGCCTGCCTGAGGCCTTTGCTAGAGGTCAGACACGGGCTGCTCTTTGCCTTGAAGATGTCAACACACTCGTCACTAAGTAGTTCTGTCATACGCCAGGTCAGAGCAGTATTTCATGGACATGGATCCTC